CCTCTTCTGGCTGTGTTGGGTGGAGATTATAAGAGTACATGTCCATTTAAGGCCAGAATGTTCAGCATAGATGACCAGCAGGGTCAATTAATAATCAGTAGTTGTAGAGGGTGCAACCGGTCAGTACCTAAGGAGTAAATGTCAGTTGGCTTTTCATTGCCGAGCATTCAGAGGTTGAGACAGCAGGTGCGATAGAGAGAGAGAGAGAGAGAGTCGAAAACAGCACGTGCGGGACAAGGTAGCACGTCCGGTGAACAGGTCAGGGTTCCCTAGCCGCAGGCAGAACAGTTGAAACTGGAGCAGCAGCACGACCAGGTGGACTGGGGAGAGCCAGGAGTCATCAGGCCAGGTAGTCCTGAGGCATGATCCTAGGGCTCAGGTCCTCCGGGAGGAGAGGGAGAGAGAGAAAATTAGAGGGAGCATACTTAAATTCACACAGGACACCAGATAAGACAGGATAATTACACCAGATGTAACAGACTGTATTTAGCTCGTCTGGTAGGCTCGCGTCACTGGGCAGCTCGCGGCTGGGTTTCCCTTTGTAATCCGTGATAGTTTGCAAGCCCTGCCACATCCGACGAGCGTCAGAGCCGGTGTAGTAGGATTTGATCTTGGTCCTGTATTGACCAGGTCTAGCCTTTAGCTCAGTGTGAATGTTGCCTCTAATCCATGGCTTCTGGTTGGGATACGTACATATGGTCACTGTAAAGACAACGTCATCGATGCACTTATTAAAGAAGCCGATGACTGATGTGGTAAACTCCTCAATGCCATCGGATGAATCCCGGAACATATTCCAGACTGTGCTAGCGAAACGGTCCTGTAGCTTGGCATCCACTTCTTGAGCGCGTCACTGGTACTTCCTGATAGAGTTTTTGCTTGTAAGCAGGAATTAGGAGGATAGAGTTATGGTCAGATTTGCCAAATGGAGGGCGAGGGATAGCTTTTTATGCGTCTCTGTGTGTGGAGTAAAAGTGATCTAGAGTTTTTTCATCTCTAGTTGCACAGGTGACATGCTCGTAGAAATTAGGTTAAACGGATTTCAGTTTTCCTGTATTAAAGTCACCAGCCACTAGGAGTGCCGCATCTAGGTGATCATTTTCTTGTTTGCTAATGGCCCTATACAGCTCGTTGAGTGAGGTCTTAGTGCCAGCATCGGTTTGTTGTGGTAAATAGACAGCTACAAAAAATATAGGAAAACTCTCTTGGTAAATAGTGTGGTTACAACTTATTATGAGATATTCTAACTCAGGCGAGCAAAACCTTAAGACTTTCTTAATATTAGAGATCGCACACCAGTTGTTGTTAACAAAGAGACACACACACCCTCCTCTGAGCTTCCCCGATGCAGCCGTTCTGTCCTGCTGATGTGTATGAAAACCAGCTAGATTTATATTTACCATGTCCTTGTTTAGCCACGACTCGGAGAAACATAGGATATTACATTTACATTTTACATTTTAGTCATTTAGCAGACGCTCTTTTCCAGAGCGACTTACAGTTAGTGAATACATTTTTTATTTTTTATTATTATTTTTTATTTAAATTTTTATACTGGCCCCCCGTGGGAATCGAACCCACAACCCTGGCGTTGCAAACGCCATTCTCTATCAACTGAGCTACATCCCTGCCGGCCATTCCCTCCCCTAGCCTGGACGACGCTGGGCCAATTGTGCGCCGCCCATGAGTCTCCCGGTCGCGGCCGGCTGCGACAGAGCCTGGATTCGAACCAGGATCTCTAGTGGCACAGTTAGCACTGCGATGCAGGAGTGGCGCAGTTCTTCACATCACATCGATAGGATAGTCTCGAACCGAGCTCATCCAGTTTATTCTCCAGTGATTGCATGTTTGCCAATAGATTGAAGGGTAGAGGCGATTTATCCACTCTCCAACATAGTATTTTCAGGTATCCCGCACGCCGGCCTCTATAGGCCCGTCTTCTCCTTCTCCGAGTGTCGGGGATTTGGGCCTGGTCCACGATAATCAATATTTCTCTGACTCATTGAATTAGAACTCTTCGTACAAATGGAGGTTAGTGATAGCTGTTCTGATGTCCAGAAGCTCTTTTCGGTCATAGGAAACGACGCCAGAAACATTATGTAGAAGCAGGAAAAAGTCTCTGCACACTTCCAGTCAGATGCACATTTCTTTTAATTATAGCTGAGCTTTCGGTCAGTCGACCTTCATCAGAGCATACAGTACCAGTCAAAAGTTTGGACACACCTACCCATTCAAGGGTTTTTCTTCATTTTAATGATTTTCTACATTGTAGAGTAATAGTAAAGACATCAAAACTATGAAATAACACATATGGAATCATGTAGTAACCAAAAAAGTGTTAAACAAATCAAAATATATTTTAGATTTTAGATTCTTCAAATAGCCACCCTTTGCCTTGATGACAGCTTTGCACACTCTTGGCATTCTCTCAACCAGCTTCACCTGGAATGCATTTCCAACAGTCTTGAAGGAGTTCCCACATACATCTGTGGAAAAAATTAAGAGACCACTGTTAGTGAGTGCATACCATTTTTTTTTCATACTTGTTGGCTGCTTTTCTTTCACTCTGCGGTCCAACTCATCCCAAACCATCTCAATTGGGTTGAGGTCGGGTGATTGTAGAGGCCAGGTCATCTGATGCAGCACTCCATCACTCTCCTTATTGGTCAAATAACCCTTACACAGCCTGGAGGTGTGTTTTGGGTCATTGTCCTGTTGAAAAACAAATGATAGTCCCACTAAGCCCAAACCAGATGGGATGGCATATCGCTGCAGAATGCTGTGGTAGCCATGCTGGTTAAGTGTGCCTTGAATTCTAAATAAATTACTGACAGTGTCACCAGCAAAGCACCCCCACACCATCACACCTCCTCCTCCATGCTTCACGGTGGGAACCACACATGCGGAGATCATCTGTTCACCTACTCTGCATCTCACAAAGACACAGCGGTTGGAACCAAAAATCTCAAATTTGGACTCATCAGACCAAGGACAGATTTCCACCGGTCTATTGTCCATTGCTCGTGTTTCTTGGCCCAAGCAAGTCTCTTCTTCTTATTGGTCCTTTAGTAGTGGTTTCTTTGCAGCAATTTGTCCATGAAGTCCTGATTCACGCAGTCTCCTCTGAACAGTTGATGTTGAGATTTGTCTGTTACTTGAACTGTGTGAAGCATTTATTTGGGCTGCAATTTCTGAGGCTGGTAACTCTAATGGAACTTATCCTCTGAAGTAGAGGTAACTTTGGGTCTTCCTTTCCTGTGGCGTTCCTCATGAGAGCCAGTTTCATCATAGCACTTGATGGTTTTTGCGACTGCACTTGACATTTTCCGTATTGACTGACCTTCATGTCTTAAAGTAATGATGGACTGTCGTTTCTCTTTGCTTATTTGAGCTGTTCTTGCCATAATATGGACTTGGTCTTTTACCAAATAGGGCTATCTTCTGTATACCACCCCTACCTTGTCACAACACAACTGATTGGCTCAAACGCATTAAGAAGGAAGGAAATTCAAAAAATGTACTTTTAACAAGGCACACCTGTTAATTGAAATGCATTCAAGGTGACTACCTCATGAAGCTGGTTGAGAGAATGCCAAGAGTGTGCAAAGCTGTCATCAAGGCAAAGGGTGGCTACGTTGAAGAATCTCAAATATAAAATATATTTTGATTTGTTTAACACTTTTGGTTACTACATGAGTCCATATGTGTTATTTCATAGATGTGACGTCTTCACTATTATTCTACAATGTAGAAAATAGTAAAAATAAAGAAAAATCCTGGAATGAGTAGGTGTGTCCAAACTTTTGACTGGTACTGTATCTCCACAAACAATAGCGGGACAGATAAGGCCACACAGCGAGCCAGAGGTAATTGCAGACACCTGTGGTAATCTAAAGTACCCAAAAGGGCCAAAAAGTGTCATAGTATCAGATACAGGATAAAACAGAACATGTTATAGATGTATTTATACTAGAACAAAAACACATGTACACAGGGAATGTGGTGTTAGTATAATTAACCCAGACTCTCAAATAGAGCAATAAAGGTGAAAAACGGCAAAAGAAAAGGAAAACATATACAATACTATATACATATGTAGAACCAGGAGAAATCTAGAAAACAACCAGATAGAGGTAAAGGTAACCTGTCGGGGAAGTATCGGGCCACTAGGGCCGTCATGAATACAGGACACCCTAATAACAGGGAGGGTGTGTGTGTGTGAAGCTAAGATGATGTAAACATTATGTACAAAAAAGTTAAGATCAGCCCCCAAAAATACACAAAATAGCACAATTGGTCAGTTCTGTTTTAGGATGGTTTTGGGAAACTGTGTGGGTGTTAGGAAACAAATTTGAAGATATTTACATACACAAGCCCTTACCAAGATGAACAGTCATTGGTCTATTATAATCAGATAATGTTGTGATGTGGCCAATAGTTCCATCCCACCTGAATAAACTGAAATTCCCTTTAAGGGTAGTTTAGTAATTGGTTGCTTGGTAGACTGTATTTTCAGAGTAGTTTCCCCAGTGCTAACCATTGCTCCCATAGGGTTAACCCACTTGGGGGAGATTGTAACCCTAGGCAAGGGTTGTTACTTGTTCCACTACCTACCCTCTTCATTCAGGAGAGTGAATTAAAAGCCAGAAACGCGTTTCTGATGGCACCATCCTACTTCTTGTACCAGTGTAGTGAACAAAGACTATGTACCGCCTCTTTCGGCTATCAAACTTGGGTCTCCCAGACCATAGGCAGACTTGCTAACCGCTGCTCCAATAGAGGTAAACCCACTTAGGGAATATGGTAAGGATCACCCAAGGTTCTTTACAATACTAATGTGGCTCCCAGGCGTTGTGACTGAGATCATCTGCGCAACGCGAGTAGCCTACTATAAAAAATGTCCAGGAAAGCGGCCAATTTAACATTTGAAATCAAAATGACTGCAGCTCCGACCACACAGTACAGACTGGAACGCGCCCATTTTCAAATGTGCGCAGTCGCAATAATGAAGGTATCCGAGAAACAACGCCATTTTTGGGGTAGCTAGTCTGACAATTGCATTGTGTTAGCAACCTAAACAAAAATTACTTGCAATAATGAGGGCAATTGGGGAATTTTGGGGGAGTAAGCCCATATAGTGCCGGCCGTTTACATAAGGTGCCTTTGACCAGCGCAAGATGTCCAGGTAATAAATATATTAACTCTCCAGCTGCCCGAGCAAGCTACTGTAGCTAATCTGGCAAACCGTAGATAGCTAACCTGACCTAGCTAGCTAGCTGATTTGCTGCCTAGTTAGTTCTAACGTAGTCAGTCCTCACATTCAAGCTACTAGTCCTACTTGAACTTGTGACATTTACATAATTAGTACAGACATCAAGAGAGACCTAGCTATTTGTTTGACCAACGTTATTGTTTGATATTTATCTAACTAGGTAACGTTAACTTTACTGCTAGCTAGCTAGCTATAAATGAGTTCACACACGTACATTAACGTTAGCAAACGACCTAGATAGCTAGCTAATTGTTTTGTCTATGATCTGGGCCCGGTTTCCCAACGGCATCTGAAGGCTAACTTCAACGTTAGGACCATATATGGTGAACTTAGCCTTAAGATACTTTTGGGAAACTAAGCCCTGGTATTCGTTAGGGTAGTTCTCTAAAAACCTTAGGGTTTAAACGCAACAATTGCAAAGATTTCATTAGGCCCTAATCTAAGGATTTCACATGACTGGGCAGGGGTGCAGCCATGGGTGGGCCTGGGAGGGCATAGGAATCATAATTAGTTTATCGCCACAAAAGGGCTTTACTACAGACAGAAATGCGCCGGCCAGGTTGTGAGGCCGGTTGGACGGCATATGGTAGAGATATGAACATTCAATTCTCTGGCAACAGCTCTGTTGGACATTCCTGCAGTCAGCATGCCAAGTGTACGCTCCTTCAATTTGAGACAACAGTGGCGTTGTTACAAAACTGCACATTTTAGTGGCCTTTTATTGTCCCCGGCACAAGGTACACCTGTGTATTGATCATGCTGTTTAATCAGCTTCTTGATATGCCACACCTGTCAGGTGGATGGATTATCTTGGCAAAGGAGAAATGCTCACTAACAGGAATGTAAACAACATTTCTGGGATCTTTTATTTCAGCTCATGAAACATGGGACCAACACTTTACATGTTGCGTTTATATTTTTGTTCAGTATACAATTCCAACACTGTTTTAACGTTTAGAAATGTCAATCATCTTTCATATCAGCCAGAAATAATCTTTCAAATAAAAAATATACACTTACTGAAGCAGATTTGTACGTGCCTCCAGTTGGCAAACATCACTTCCTCACCAGTTACACTTACACAGGTGTTTGCGCTGATAGCTAATTGGCACAGGTGGTCGCCTCTGTGTACCTTCTGTAAACAAGTGCTGTAACATGGATATTAGTCTGGGTAATCAGGCTGTAATACACAATTAATTGGTATATACGGCCTGAAGCTTGCAAAATTGTACCTGTTCCTTACAAGCCAGAATGATTAATAAAATGACATTTAAACTTAACCGATTGTCTGTGCGGTTTTTCTTTTAAGTATTGTTTACCTGACTTGTTACGGTTGGCAGCGAGGTAAAGTTATTTTTACATTGGATATTTGGTTTTCTCGTCAATAGCTATTGAACAAAGCATACCGTGACAATGAAAATGGGATATTCTGAATCTGGAGGATGGAGAACAATGCACACTTTTTTTGAAGATTGAAATCTGAATAAAATAAATAAAAGAGATTCACACCATCCTCCCCTGATTCAAGAGTTGGTAAACAATACTTTCCTGTGGATATTTTGTCTCAGCAGCTGAAGGACAAACTGCACAGACAACCGGAGAGTGAGTTTAAATGTAATTTTATTCAACATTCTGGCTTGTAAGGAACATTTTACATGATTTTGCAGGCATTAGTTTCAGGCTGTATATACCAATTAATTGTGTATTACAGCTTGATTAATCAGACTAATATCCATGTTACAGCGCTTGTTTACAGAAGACTGAAAGTCTTCAGTGGGCAAATGCTCACCTTCGATGGCAACTGGCACGCTGGAGAAGTGTGCTCTTCACGGATGAATCCCTGTTTCAACTGTACCGGGCAGATGGCAGACAGTGTAAGTATGGCGTCGTGTGGGCGAGCGGTTTGCTGATGTCAACGTTAAGAACAGAGTGACCCATGGTGGGGTTATGGTATGGGCAGGCATAAGCTACGGACAACGAACACAATTACATTTTATAGATGGCAATTTGAATGCACAGAGATACCGTGACGAGATCCTGAGGCCCATTGTCGTGCCATTCATCCATCGCCATCACCTCATGTTTCAGCATGATAATGTATGGCCCCATGTCGCAAGGATCTGTACACAATTCCTGGAAGCTGAAAATGTCCCAGTTATTCCATGGCCTGCATACTCACCAGACATGTCACCCATTTGAGCATGTTTGGGATGCTCTTGATCGACGTGTACGACAGCGTGTTCCAGCAACTTTGTGGGACAATATTCCACAGGCCACAATCAACAGCCTGATCAACTCTATGCGAAGGAGATGTGTCGCGCTGCATGAGGCAAATGGTGGTCACACCAGATACGGACTGGTTTTCTGATCCACGCCCCTACCTTTGATTTTAAGGTATCTATTACCAGTCATGTGAAATCCATATATTAGTGCCTAATTTATTTATTTAAATTGACTGATTTCCTTATGAACTGTAAAATCATTGAAATTGTTGCATGTTGCATTTATATTTTTGTTTAGTGTAATTAAAATGATACAAATATCAAAGCAAAAATGCAACTAATGCTAAAGCACCAGCCTCTGCCATATGGACACATTGATACATTGGCGGTTAAATAGCCTAAATGACCGCATGGAACTCAGAGATGGCCAATGCAGCCGTTGGCCTATAACTTCCATTGTCAACTAATCAAAATGCAGAAAGCCGACATAAAAACAGTAGAAAATATACTGATGAAAATTCTGGTTCTTTCAATCACATTCATCTCTCTACTCGGCATGTCTGCCTTCCTTTCTAGCTCTTTACTTGAGCTATCCTAGTAAAGTGCAACATTGTATCAAATCAATAAACTGGATCTGGCATGAAGTTGTCTCCAGTGAACTTGCAATATTGTATCAACTAGCCTATTCCAGGCCCTCAGTTTCCTGCACCAGTGAGCTTGGGACAGACAGCTGTTTTTGTGCAAGGGAAAGGTATTTTATGATGTTTCCACTGGATATATATATATATATACAATCATCGGATGATGATATTTTGCTCTTTCACACCAGGCTTGGTGATTATCGAGAGGGAGAGATTATTGGAAAGTTTTGTCAGATAGGCCTACTGTGTGGAACGATTAGACTGTCATGGATGTAAAAACAAAAAGGTGAAGAAAAAATGACTGAGAAGCTCAGCTTATTAGTGGTGGACGTAGTGACAGACAATCAGAAATCAAACATCTCCAAATGGGCACTTTCCTACATTTGCGCGCAGCAGGCCAGCTAGGCTAATTCTTGCGTGCTCAGGCGCGCGCTCCCTCAAAATTAGCAAGACCGAGAAACCAGACCCATGCTCATTGCTCACATGGAGCACTCCAAACAAAAGACAATGAAAAAATGGACAACTCGTAAATGAAGGTTATGAAATAAACCAAAACGTGTTTCTCACAAGTGTAGCAGGTTGTGCACTCTGCAAACAATGTTTCCACTCCGAGAATGAGAGCAGTAAATGACTATGCCTAATTAGTAATACAATGCCTTAACAGAAATTAATGCAACCAAATGACAGGGACTAATGGTACATATTTTTATGTCACCAGTTTACTACTGGTGACATATGTAATGGGGAATAGTTAAAATGAGCAATCAAAGGGCAAACAATTCACATAAAATAATACATGCGGAAGAATTGGCGGGAGACCGCTGACTGGATTCTGGAGAGCTGAGTGCATGCATTCTGGAGAGAGATGCGCCTATAGGCTGTCTTCGCCACACACCCCTTGTCTCAAAATTTAAAATTATACTCCAGACACATTATCTTCACACACATTTTAGATACTTTTCACTGACAGCCGCAACTCAATAATAAGCTAGGCCTTTTGCCACGCGCTGCCTATGAAAGAATTCCTCATATGCCATTTTTCTCCTGTTTTATTGGTTTTCGTATAAACTTTATTTCGTTGTCCAGAAGCCAAATGCACAATCCTAGTCTTATTAGCAACCATCCTAGTTATTGCATATTTACATTCACCCTCTTTCTAAGCTTCTAACTGAGATTTTCATCTATGTCATATACAGCTCGCATTAGGTGCGCTGTTTAGAATGGTGTTTTTTCCTGTGAATTGCATTTTGGCAAATGTTTGAAAATGATGTTTTATTGGCTGCTTCATTACAGGAGTTACATGTTTTGTTAAGATGAGTTACCATAATCTATACTGAACAAAAATAAACGCAACATGTAAAGTGTTGGTTTCATGAGCTGAAATAAAAGATCCCATACATTTTCCAAACAAACAAAAAGCTTATTTCTCTAAAATGTTGTGCACAAATTTGTTTACATCCCTGTTAGTGAGCATTTCTCCTTAGCCAAGATAATCCATCCACCTGACAGGTGTGGCAAATCAAGAAGCTGATTAAACAGCATGATCATTACACAGGTGCACCTTGTGCTGGGGACAATAAAAGGCCACTAAAATGTGCAGTTTTGTGTCACAACGCCACAGATGTCTCATGTTTTGAGGGAGCGTGCAATTGGAATGCTGACTGCAGGAATGTCCACCAGAGCTGTTGCCAGAGAATTGAATGTTCCATTTATCTACCATAAGCCTCCTCCGTTGTTTTAGAGAATTTGTGAGTACTTCCAACCGGCCTCACAACCGCAGACTACTTGTAACCACGCCAGTAAAGGACCTCCACATCCGGCTTCTTCACCTGCAGGATCGTCTGAGACCAGCCACCCGGACATCTGATGAAACTGAGGAGTATTTCCTTCTGTAATAAAGCCCTTTTGTGGGGAAAAACTCATTCTGATTGGCTGGTCTTGGCTCCCCAGTGGGTGGGCCTATGTCCTCCCAGGCCACCCATGGTTGCACCCCTGCCCAGTCATGTGAAATCCATAGATCAAGGCCTAATTTATTTAAATTGACTGATTTCCTTATATGAACTGTAACTCAGTAAAATGTTTATATTTTTGTTCAGTATAAATGTGATTTCTGTCATTCTGAGCACCGTGGGTGGACACCCTAATGGGTTACACACCCAATGCATAAGTGTCTGGTAATTTTCTCAAATGGCCGGTAAATTAAAATCTTCCTGGTCACGTTGTCCACCGCCACATTTTCCTAACGGAAATCCTGCTTCATGGAGATATGGCTGTGTGGAAACACTAACCCTATAAAGGTGTGTAGTAATTTAAAGGTGCTACACAGGATATTTTTGAATTTTTATTTCAAAAAATGTCCAGAATATAACTAGTGCTAATAGTGGAATGATAGTGTTTCACATTATTACTTACCCACCATAGTTGTGATTGGCTGTGATATTCGCCTATTGATTTCTTCCGCCGGAGCGGCATCTGTTGTCAAACTGGGAAAGCTGTTTTGACTTTGTGGATGTGTTATTTAGTGGAAATCTCACATTTTCTGGTTGCTAAAGTTCTACACTGTCAATTTCAGTTAGAGAAAACAAGCACTGGATAATGTAGGGAGTCATTGTACCATTTAAATCGCTGTGAAATACACTACATGACAAAAGTATGTGGACACCTGCTTGTCAAACATCTCATTCTAAAATCAAGGCATTAATATGGAGTTGATTCCCCCCCCCCCTCCTTTTCTGCTATAACAGCCTTCACTCTTCTGGGATGGCTTTCCTCTAGATGTTGAGACATTGTTGCGTGGACTTGCTTCCATTCAGCCACGAGCGTTAGTGAGGTTAGGCGATTAGGCCTGGCTTGCAGTCGGCGTTCCAATTCATCCCAAAGGTGTTCGATGGGGTTGAGTTCAGGGCTCTGTGCAGGCCAGTCAAGTTCTTCCACACCGATCTCTACAAACCATTTCTGTATGGACCTCGCTTTGTGCATGGGGGCATTATCATGCTGAAACAGGAAAGGGCCCTTCCCCAAACTGTTGCCACAAAGTTGGAAGCGCAGAAGCATCTAGAATGTAATTGTATGCTGTACCGTTAAGATGTCCCTTCACTGGAACAAAGGGACCTAGCCCGAACCATGAAAAACAGCCCCAGACCATTATTCCTCCTCCACCAAACTTTACAATTGGGGCAGGTAGCGTTCTCCTGGCATCCGCCAAACCCAGATTCGTCCGTTGGACTGCCAGATGTTGAAGCGTGATTCATCACTCCAGAGAACGCGTTTCCACTGCTCCAGAGTACAATGGCTGTGAGCTTTACACCACTCCAGCCGAAACTTGGAATCGCGCCTGGTGATCTTAGGCTTGTGTGTGGCTGCTCGGCCATGATCTTGTGCTGACGTTGCTTCCAGAGGTAGTTCGGAACTCCGTAGTGAGTGTTGCAACCAAGGACAGACAATTTTTACGCTCTGCGCACTTCAGCAATCGGTGGTCCCGTTCTCTGAGCTTGTGTGGCCTACCACTTCACGGCTGAACCGTTGTTGCTCCTAGACATTTCCACTTCACAATAACAGCACTTACAGTTGATTGGGGCAGCTCTAGCAGGGCAGACATTTTACGATCTGACTTGTTGTAAAGGTAGGAATCCTATGACGGTGCCACGTTGAAAGTCACTAAGCTGGCCAATCTACTGCCAATGTTCGTCTATGGAGATTGCATGGCTGTGTGCTCGATTTTATACACCTGTCAGCAACGGGGTGTGGCTGAAATGGCCAAATCCACTAATTTGAAGGGGTGTCCAGATACTTTTGTATATACAGTGCATTCGGAAAGTATTCAGACCATTTTACTTTTTCCACATTTTGTTACATTACAGCCTTATTCTAAAATTTATTAAATAGTTTTTTCCCCTCATCAATCTACACACAATACCCCATAATGACAAAGCAAAAATAGGTTTTTAGAATTGTTTGAAAATGTATTGAAAATAAATAACTGATATCACATTTAAGTATTCAGACCCTTTACTCAGTACTTTGTTGAAGCGCCTTTGGCAGCGATTACAGCCTTGAGTCTTCTTGGGTATGACGCTACAAGCTTGGCACACCTGTATTTGGGGAGTTTCTCCCATTCTTCTCTGCAGATCCTCTCAAGCTCTGTCAGGTTGGTTGGGGAGTGTCGCTGCACAGCTATTTTAGGTCTCTCCAGAGATGTTCAAGTCCGGGCTCTGGCTGGGCCACTCAATGACATTCAGAGACTTGTCCCGAAGCCACTCCTGCGTTGTCTTGGCTGTGTGCTTAGGGTCGTTGTCCTGTTGGAAGGTGAACCTTCGCCCCCAGTCTGAGGTCCTGAGCGCTCTGGAGCAGGTTTTTATCAAGGATCTCTCTGTGCTTTGCTCCTTTCATCTTTCCCTCGATCCTGACAAGTCTCCCAGTCCCTGCCGCTGAAAAACATACCCACAGCATGATGCTGCCACCACCATGCTTCATTGTAGGGATGGTGCCAGGTTTCCTCCAGACGTGACGCTTGGCATTCAGGCCAAAGAGTTCAATCTTGGTTTCATCAAACCAGAGAATCTTGTTTCTCATGGTCTGAGAGTCCTTTAGGTGCCTTTTGGCAAACTCCATGTGGGCTGTCATGTGCCTTTTACAGAGGAGTGGCTTCCGTCTGGCCACTCTTCCATAAAGGCCTGATTTGGTGGAGTACTGCAGAGATGGTTGTCCTTCTTGAATGTTCTCCCATCTCCACAAAGGAACTCTGGAGCTCTATCAGAGTGACCATTGGGGTCTTGGTCACCTCCATGACCAAGGTTCTTCTCCCCCGATTGCTCAGTTTAGCCAGGCGGCCAGCTCTAGGAAGAGTCTTGGTGGTTCCAAACTTTTTCCATTTAAGAATGATGGAGGCCACTGTGTTCTTGGGGACCTCCAATGCTGCAGAAATGTTTTGGTACCCTTCCCCAGATCTGTGCCATCGACACAATCCTGTCTCGGATCTCTATGGACAATTCCTTCAACCTCATGGCTTGGTCATGCAGTGTCAACTGTGGGACCTTTATATAGACAGGTGTGTGCCTTTCCAAATCATGTCCAATCAATTGAATTTACCACAGGTGGACTCCAATCAAGTTGTAGAAACATCTCAAGGATGATCAATGGAAACAGGATGCACCTGAGCTCAATTCCGAGTCTCATAGCAAAGGGTTGGAATACTTATGTAAATAAGATATTTCTGTTTTGAATTAATACATTTCCAAAAATTTATAAAAACCTGTTTTCGCTTTGTCATTATGGGGTACTGTGTGTAGATTGAGGATAAAAAACAACATCCATTTTAGAATAAGGCTGTAACATAACAAAATGTGGAAAAAGTCAAGGGGTCTGAATACTTTCCGAATGCACTGTAAAGTGTATCTTATCAATAACAAAATATATTGCGTTTGAAGCTGGTGGACCAAAACCGAAAGTAACCAGCTTCAAACAGTTGTAACAAATTGGGGTTTGTTATTGAAAATATATTTCACAGCGATTTAGATGGTACAATGATTCACTACACTATTCAGTGCTTGTTTTAACACACAAACTGAAATTGAGTGAACAGTGTAGAATTTCAGCAACCAGGAAATGACAGAGCGATTTCCACTAGATAACACAGTCACAAAGGCAGAACAGCTTCCCAGTTTGACAATAGATGCCATTCCGGCAGGAGAAATCAATAAGCGAATATCACAGCCAATCACAACACTGGCGATTTAAGTAATACTGTGAAACACTAGCGCCAGATATATTTTGGACATTTTCTGAAATTACAATGCAAAAATGCTAAGGAATCCTATGAGTTGTACCTTTTTTAAATTTTTTGTTAATTCTTTCTCGCTGATATGAAATATACGTTCCTTATGTTTCCAAAACTGTACCGCAAGCAATACGCGTTAACGTTTAGAACAAGCGTTGGGGCTCTTAACAAAATTATTCTGGGAAGAAAATACCTTCATCAATAGGCGCTTAAGGTAGTTAACGTCTATGAATGGGTTAGCATTAGGGTAGAATAGCTAGCTAGCCTATTGAATCATGATAATAACTGTTCCTGAAGAATAGGGACAGATAAGGACAAGGACAGATATGTTCACATCATACCGGTAGCTATGGCATATATCCACATACTTTTAACTTTGGTTAGGAATTTAAACAAAGGTGTATAGCTTTCTAGAAAGAAACTCACATGAGGTATGCTGGATTTCTATTAATTTGGCTGTCATTCCTCTTAGCATTCCTCCTGGCACGAGCAAGCTCAATGTGTTGGTGACCAAACTGCATGAGTTCTTGACTCATGCTCCAGAAGAAGATGATGACACACTGGTGACTGAAAGTCCTGATGGTGAGAACTGTAATAAGTGAAACTTTAACTCAGTAGGCATGGTGGGGTTGTCTGGCCAATATTTGTAGTGACTCACAATACTGTCTGCTGATTTGAATTCACAGGTATAACAAACAAGGACTGTGTGGAGCCACACTCAACAGACCGAACCTCTCTTGAGGTATTGACATGAGAAATATCAGTATTGGCTGTTCTAGACCAAAGAGTATTTAATATTGATGTAGATCTAGACGATCTAGTTATTACATTTTTCTTGTTGAATACAGCCTCAACAGACATTAACAGATGCCTTGAAGCAGTATGGATGTGGTTCCAGGAGGTGGGCTTTCTTCTGATATTTTGAAACGTGATAGTTGATGTACATGTTTATGGACAGGAAAAACACATTGTTTATCCTCTAATGCAGATGTTTTCAAACTTTTCCTTTGGGACCCCAAGCCATTCCATGTATTTGAACTATTCCTGAGTTAGCACACCCAATTCAACTTGTCATGTAATTAGACGCCCTTGTTGAGGTGAATCAGGTGAGCTAGTTCAGGGCTACAACAAAATTGTGAAATGTCTGGGGGTCACTGAGGAGGTTTGAAAAACCACTGCTCTAATCAATGTTACTTGTATTACAGAAAACCTTCAGTTGTAATTAAACACAGTGGACTGGATGAATCTGGTGCTTCAAATGAAAGTGATGATGACTGCTTGATCATCAATTCAAACGGTTATCCTGATGTAACAAGATTACCGAAAGGTTATTTTTTTCTGCTACTTCTTTCAACTCTACTGTAAGGAGATATTAACAATGGAAATGAATATTGAATGACTGCATTTATCAACAGAAAATGCCTTGGTTTTCATGCGTGTGTTTTTACATGTCTTATGCACAAAGGCACTGTACTGGTGAGGCCTGAGCCGGTGGAAAATGTCAGAGATGACTTCAGAGGTCCAGAATTCCATTGCGGAAAATCTGGTAATCTGAGGAGAGTTTTTTCCAGGAGACGTGGAGGTGAGCTTTCATGAATGAATATGAAAATGCATATCCTCTTCCCTAAAATAGTGTGCCGCAGAATGAAAATGAATGCATGTTTGTAATCAATCAATCAAATTGATTTATAAAGCCCTTTGTACATCAGCAGATGTCACAAAGTGCTATACAGAAACCCAGCCTAAAACCCCAAATGGCAAGCAATGCAGATGTAGAAGCACGGTGGCGAGGAAAAACTCCCTAGAAAGGCAGGAACCTAGGAAGAAACCTAGAGGAACCACGCTCTGAGGGGTGGCCAGTCCTCTTCTGGCTGTGCCGGGTGGAGATTATAAGAGTTACATGGCCATTTAAGGCCAGATTGTTCTTCAAGATGTTCAAACGTTCATAGATGACCAGCAGGGTCAAATAATAATCACAGTGGTTGTACAGGGTGCAACAGGTCAGTACCTCAGAATAAATGTCAGTTGGCTTTTCATAGCCAAGCATTCAGAGGTCGAGACAGCAGGTGCGGTAGAGAGCGAGAAAGTTGAAAACAGCAGGTCCGGGACAAGGTAGCACGTCCGGTGAACAGGTCAGGATTCCATAGCCGCAGGCAGAACAGTTGAAACTGGAGCAGCAGCATGACCAGGTGGACTGGGGACAGCCAGGAGTCTTCAGGCAAGGTAGTCCCGAGCCATGGTCCTAAGGCTCAGGTCCTCCGGGAGGGGAGATGGAGAATTAGAGGGAGCATACTTAAATTCACACAGGACACCAGATAAGACAGGAGAATTACCCCAGATATAAGACTGACCCTAGCCCCCCGGTACATAGACTATTGCAGCATAGATACTGGAGGCAGAGACGGGCCAACCAGGCAGGATATAACCCCACCCACTTTGCCAAAGCACAACCCCCACACCACTACAGGGATATCAACAGTCCACCAACTTACTACCCTGAGACAAGGCTGAGTATAGCCCACAAAGATCTCCTCCACCGCACGGGACCAAGGGGGTGCAAAACCGGACAGGAAGATCACGTCAGTGACTCAACACACTCAATTGACGCACTTTTCCTAGGGACTGCATGGAAGAGCACTAGTAAGCCAGTGACTCAGCCCCCTGTAATAGGGTCAGAGAATCCCAGTGGAGAGAAGGTAGCCAGCTAGGCAGAGACAGAAAGGGCGGTCCGTCGCTCCAGTGCCTTGCCGTTCACCTTCGCACCCCTGGGCCAGGTTAGCGTTGTAGGTTAGCAGTAAAACCTTAAAATCAGCCCTAGCCTTAACAGGAAGCCAGTGTAGAGAGACTAGCACTGTTGTAATATTATCTTTTTTTTGGTTCTAGTCAAGATTCTAGCAGCCTTGTTTAGCACTAACTGAGGTTTATTTAGTGCTTTAGCTGGGTAGCCGGAGAGTAGAGCATTGCAGAAGTGACAAAAGCATGGATTAGCTTTTCTGCATAATTTTTTACGAAAAGTTTCTGATTTTTGCAATGTTACTAAGATGGAAAAAAGCTGTCCTTGAAATATTCTTGATACGTTCGTCAAAAGAGCGATCAGGGTCCAGAGTAACGCCGAGGTCCTTCAGTTTTAATTGAGACAACTGTATAACCATCAAGATTAATTGTCGTATCCAACAGCAGATCTCTTTGTTTCTTGGGACCTAGAACAAGCATCTCTGTTTTGTCAGAGTTTAAAAGTAAAACATTTGGCGCCATCCACTTCCTTATGTCTAAAACACAGGCTTCCAGGGAAGGCAATTTTGGGGCTTCACCATGTTTCGTCGAAATGTACAGCTGTGTGTCGTCCGCATAGCAGTGAAAGTTGACATTGTGTTTCCGAATGGCATCACCAGGAGGTAGTGAAAACAATAGTGGTCTTAAAACGGAACCTTGAGCAACACCGAAACTTACAATTGATTTGTCAGAGGACAAACCATCCACAGAGACGAGCTGATATCTTTCCGACAGATAAGATCTAAACCAGGCAAGAACTTGTCCGTGTAGACCAATTAGGGTTTCCAATCTCTCAAAAAGAATGTGGTGATGGTAGAGCATGGCGCTTGCAACGCCAGGGTTGTGGGTTCGTTTTCCCACGGGGGGCCAGTATGAAAATGTATGCACTCTGGATAAGAGCGTCTGCTAAATGACTAAAATGTAAAATGTCTAGGAGCATGAGGACAGATGCAGAGCCTTGTTCTGACGCTATTAAAAGGTAATTTACCACCTTCATGAGTGCAGTCTCAGTGCTATGATGGGGTTGAAAACCAGACTGAAGTGTTTCGTATACAGTGCCTTCGGGAAAGTATTCGGCCCCCTTGACTTTTTCAAAATGTTGTTACGTTACAGCCTTATTCTAAACATAAAATCTACACACAATACCCCATAATGATGAAGCAAAAACAGGTTTTTAGAAATTTTAGCAGATTTATAAAAAAACAAAAACGGAAATAGTACATTTACATAAGTATTCAGACCCTTTACTCAGTACTTTGTTGAAGCACCTTTGGCAGCCATTACAGCCTCGAGTCTTCTTGGGTATGACGCGACAAGCTTGGCACACCTGAATTTGGGGAGTTTCTCCCATTTTTCTCTGCAGATCAGCTCAAGCTCTCTCAGGTTGGATGGGGAGCGTCGCTGCACAGCTATTTTCTCTCCAGTCTCTCCAGAGCTGTTCGATCGGGTTCAAGTCCGGGCTCTGGCTGGGCCACTCAAGGACATTCAGAAACTTGTCCCGAAGTGTTAAGAGAATTTCTATCTCTAATTCAACCTAAGCTTGAATCATTACCAGAGGTTGTAAGGCTCTGGTTTTAATCATAAATGATTCAAGGTCCACAACCAGCAAGAATGATCTGTATTTTTATTCATGGAGAGCTCTGGCGCCAAAACCCATACCCTCCTGTTTTATACCCCTTGACACACAAAGGCACTTTGCTCCGCCCACCTTTAGGAGGCTTTCTTAAACAGTTTCCACCTTTCTCCTTCACCCTGGAATGTTTAGTCCCGCCCCCCTCTGTTAGTGGGTTGATAATTCTAACACAGTTTACACATTTATACTGTATTTGGGGTGAAATCCTTTAGTCATTATTCTTAAAATACAAATTAATCTAACACGAAGCCACTCCTGCATTGCATGTGGTGTATCTCCCGAGTGGCGCAGTGGTCTAAGGCACTGCATCGCAGTGCTAGCTGTGCCACTAGAGATCCTGGTTCGAAACCAGGCTCTGTCGTAGCCGGCCGCGACCGGGAGACCCATGGGGCGGCGCACAATTGGCCCAGCGTCGTCCAGGGTATGGGAGGGAATGGCCGGCAGGGATGTAGCTCAGTTGGTAGAGCATGGCGTTTGCAGCGCCAGGGTTGTGGGTTCGATTCCCACGGGGGGCCAGTATGATTTTAAACAAAAAATAATAATGTATGCACTCACTAACTGTAAGTCGCTCTGGATAAGAGCGTCTGCTAAAATGTATTGACTGTGTGCTTAGGGTCGTTGTTGTCCTGTTGGAAGGTATACAGTTCCCCCAGTCTGAGGTCCTGAGCGCTCTGGAGCAGGTTTTCATCAAGGATCTCTCTGCACTTTGCTCCTTTCATCTTTTCCTCGATCCTGACTTATCTTCCATTCCCTGCCGCTGAAAAACATCCCCACAGCATGATGCTGCCACCACCATGCTTCACCGTAGGGATGGTGCCAGGTTTCCTCCAGACGTGATGCTTGGCATTCAGGCCAAAAAGTTACATCTTGGTTTCATCAGACCAGAGAATCTTGTTTCTCATGGTCTGAGAGTCTTTAGGTGCCTTTTGGCAAACTCCAAGTGGGCTGTCGTGCCTTTTACTGAGGAGTGGCTTCCGTCTGGCCACTCTACCATAAAGGCCTGATTGGTGGAGTGCTGCAGAGATGGTTGTCCTGGAAGGTTCTCCCATCTCCACAGAGGAACTCTGGAGCTCTGTCATAGTGACCATTGGGTTCTTGGTTCTCGATTGCTCAGTTTGGCCGGGCAGCCAGCTCTAGGAAGAGTCTTGGTGGTTCCAAACATCTTCCATTTAAGAATAATGGAAGCCACTGTGTTTTTGGAAACCTTCAATGCTGCAGACATTTTTTGGTACCCTTCCCCAGATCTGTGCCTCGACACAATTCTGTCTCGGAGCTCTACGGACAATTCCTTCGACCTCGTGGCTTGGTTTTTACTCTGACATGCACTGTCAGCTGTGGGACCTTATATAGACAGGTGTGTGCCTTTCCAAATCATGTCCAATCAATTGAATTTACCACAGGTGGACTCCAATCAAGTTGTAGAAACATCTCAAGGATGATAAATGGAAACAGGATGCACCTGAGCTCAATTTCGTGTCGCATAACAAAAGGTCTGAGTACCGTATTTTCCGCACTATAAGGCGCACCGGATTATAAGGCGCACCTTCAATGAATGGCCTATTTTAGAACTGTTTTCATATATAGGGCGCACCGGATTATAAGGCGCATAGAATAGAAGATACTGCAGTCAAACGTTTGACTGGGGTTGCGTTATGCATCCACTAGATGGAGCTGTGCTAAAGGGAATGTCAACAAAACAGTCAGATAAAGTCAAACTTTATTAAGCGTTCTGACAACTCCGTTCACTCCCATGGTAACGTTGTTCAAACGTTAATGTGCATATTAACAATATCTCCCAGCCTTGCTCACTCTTCTCCCAAACGTGGAGGGGAACTTTTCCCTGATTCAGTAAACGTAGTAAAAGAAACAGTCTGATACCACTAAATCAAACGTTAGTGCATAACTCAACATTGTTCAGTTACGTATAACACGTAAAGCTCACTTTTTCTGTTCATTCCCCGTCCCCGAATCCCTTGAATTCTTCTTCTTCAGTGTCCGAATTGAACTGTTGGGCGACTACGGCATCCAACCTGCCCGGCTCCCTCTCGTCATTATCCGAGTCAGTGTTGCTGCTGTTGCCTGGCAGTTCAGAGATTATTCCTGCCTTCATGAAAGCTTGGACCACAGTTGAGACTGATATATCAGCCCAGGCATCCACGATCCATTGGCAGATAGTGCCGTAAGTCGCCCGGCACTGTCTCCCCGTCTTGGTGAACGTGTCTTCGCCTTCTGTCATCCAATGCTCCCACGCAGCTCACAGTCTAGCTTTGAACGCCCTGTTGACACCAATATCTAGCGGCTGGAGTTCTTTAGTTAATCCACCCGGAATGACGGCAAGCTCCGAATTAGTTTGCTTCACTTGTTTTTTGACAGCATCGGTGATATGGGCGCGCATGGAGTCGTAGATCAATAGGGACGGAGCTGTGTGGAAAAAGCCACCCGGTCTCTTGACGTAAATTTCTCTCAGCCACTCACTCATCTTTTCCTCATCCATCCATCCCTTCGGGCTAGCTTTGATGACGACGCCGGCTGGAAAGTTTTCTTTTGGCAAGGTCTTCCTCTTGAAAATAACCATGGGTGGAAGTTTCTGGCCATTAGCCTGGCAGGCGAGAACTACAGTGAAGGATGACTTCTCAATCCCTGTGGTGGGTACAGACACCGTACTGGTCCCCGTTTTCTCCACAGTGCGGTTCACGGGAATATCAAAGGTGAGTGGAACCTCATCCATGTTGGTGATGTGCTCTGGCCGGATCTTCTTTTCAGTGATCTTCTTTTTGCAGTATGCGCGGAAAGTGACCAGCTTTTCTTGGTAATCTTTTGGCAGTTGCTGCGAGACGGTAGTTTGTGTGCGGATGGAGAGATTACGTCTTTTCATAAAACGAAAGCACCAAGAAGGACCGCCTCGAAATTCATCGATGATCATGTCCCGTGCTAGCGCTGTTGCCTTCATTCGAATAGTGACTGTAGACGCTTCTACTTGCTGCTCTCTGTTCAACAACCCACTGTTCGAGTTTGTCCTCTAACTGTGGCCATCTCGCTTTGTTCCCTCGGAAACTCTGTTTAGTCTTCTTTACTTGGCGCAGGTCATCTTCTTGCTTCCTCCACTTCCGTACCATTGATTCATTAATGTTGAATTCTCTCGCTGCTGCTCTATTCCCATATTCTACTGCGTGACCGACAGCCTTGAGCTTGAACTCTGCGTCGTAAGCGTGTCTCTTGAAAGGTGCCATTTTGGGGTCTTTATACACACACATGTGGTGTTGGACTGTGAGTAAGCACAGTACCGGTGTTTACTGACTACGGTAGCCGTAATGCTGCAAGCGGTGCGGCTTTGTAGTTTACCAGTCGTACTGAAACATTTCATTATTATTAAATTGGTTTTATTGGTTTTTCATACTGAAACATTTTGACAGAGCGCCTTGAGAGCCGTGTACAACCAGTATGGATCAACCAATTAACCAATTGATCCATATATAAGGCGCTCCGGATTATAAGGCGCACTGTCGTTTTTTGAGAAAATTAAAGGCTTTTAAGTGCACCTTATAGTGCGGAAAATACGGTACTTATGTAAATAAGGTATTTCTGTTTTTTTATTTTTAATACATTTGCTAAAATTTCAAAAAACCTGTTCATTTTGTCATTATAGGGTATTGTGTGTAGATTGATGAGGAAAACATTTAATTTAATAAATTGTAGAGTAAAGCTGTAACAAAATGTAAAAATGTCGAGGGGTCTGAATACTTTCTGAATGCACTGTACATTATTTGTCTTCAAGAACGCAGTGAGTTGCTGTGCAACAGTTTTCTAATTTATTTATTTTTTAGGAATGGGAGATTTGATATAGTCCGATATTTTTTTTGCATTTTCCTGTTCAAGGTTTGGCTTTTTCAGGAGAGGATTTATTACTGCCACTTAGTGAGTTTGGTACACATCTGGAGGATAAGGAGCCATTTACTATGTTCAACATAGGAGGGCCAAGCACGGGAAGTAGCTCTTTCAGTAGTTTTGTTGGGTTAGGGTCCAGTATGCAGCTTGAAGGTTTAGCGGCCATTACTATTTTCATGAATGTGTCAAGAGATACAGGATTAAAAAAAACGTGTGTCTCCATTGATCCTAGTCTGCAGTTCTGTGCAGACTCAGGACAACTGAGCTTTGGAGAAATACGCAGATTCAAAGAGGAGTCCGTAATTTGCTTTCTAAGAATCATGATCTCTTCATGGAAAAAGTTAGTTAATTCATCACTGCTGAAGATGAAAGCCATCCTCACTTCGGGAATTATGCGTTTTAGTTAGCCAGCCTAAAACCCCAAAGAGCAAGCAATGTAGATTTAGAAGCATTGATTGATCGATTGTGTGTTTGTAGGAGGACACTTGGAGATTGTTAGCTGTACAGCCTGTGGCCAGCAAGTTAACCACTTCCAGAGGGACTCCTTCTATCAGCATCCAGTACTCAAAGTACTAATTTGCAAGGTGAGGGGATCCTGGGTCTGTCAAAGATTGGGTCAATTATAATGAACAAAAATATAAACGCAACAATGTCAAAGATTTTACTGAGTTACAGTTCATATAAGCAAATCAGTCAATTTAAATAAATAAATTAGACCCTAATCTATGGATTTCACATGACTGGTAGTACAGATATGCATATGTTGGTCACAGATACCTTAAAAAGAAAAAAGAAAAAGTACGGGCATGGATCAGAACCTGTATGTATCTGGTGTGACCACCATTTGCCTCATGCAGTGCGACATCTCCTTCACGTAGAGTTTCAGGCTGTTGATTGTGGCCTGTGGAATGTTGTCCCACTCCTTCAATAGCTGGGGACGTGCATTATCATGCACGACAATGGATCTCGTCACGGTATCTCTGTGCATTTAAATTGCCGTCTATGAAATGCAATTGTGTTTGTTGTCCGTAGCTTATGCTGCTCTTACCATAATGCCACCATGGGGCACTCTGTTCACAAAGTTGACATCAGCAAACGTGGTCTGTGTAATGATTAGGGCTGTCCCCGACAAAAAAATAAATCTTGGTCGACCGAAAGTCGTCTGTTCAATCAATTGCTCGACATTTTTAAACGTGTATTTTTCCATATATAGACACACCCTATGTGTTTTAATAAAATCAACTATATGCATTGAGCTTGTCTGATGCTTTAAGCTTACGGTTTGATGCCTCGAGGGTGCCAGAGATCTAGATAACCAGATAAAAATATAAAAAATACGTAACCTGACCCAACTATTCTCCTCCTGCTCCTGCTGGCTTTCGCAGATTCTCCCATTACTCTCCTGAAGTTGCCGGTAAGAGGCTACGTGAGGAGTCGGCAACCTTTCTCATGTGGAAAGCCATTTATCTTAACATTTCTACTGATCTGCGTACCAGTTATGGTGTTCATATGCACATTTTAGTGAAAGTTTCATTTAATTTATAATAACGTCTTCATATCTCAAAATCATTGTCATGTGGTTAATCAAAATTATATCCAAATCTAAATGAAAATGATACAAACATCGAAAGTAACTTCTATTGCCAACTATGTAAAAATAGCTTACATAGAGCCAACAAATAAAAACATTGCAGGTAGAAAATATCCTGATAAAAAAAAAAAATCCTATAAATCAGATTGGCTACACATGGCCTGTCTGCAACGAACTTGAAACATTGTATCAATGGGTCCAGCCGAAGCTTGCTCTAGCGAACTTGCAACATTGTGTAAAATATTCTGGGTCCTCAGTTTCCCGCGCCAGTGAGCTCGGGACAGACACAGCTGTAGGCTATTTGCGCAAGGGATAAGAAGCAGTGCTTGACTTGGGCAGGAGCTCACCTGAGCTGAGTACCGGCACCTCAAATTTTCTGCTGCTTAAGCTCCTGTTCCTCTTACAGAATATTAGCTAAAAAGTATTGTGGAGCTCCTGCACCTAAATATAAACAGTACCAGCATCCAAAATGAGTACCGGAACCTATTTCAGTCCAAGTCAAGCACTGATAAGAAGCCTATTTTGTCTAGTTTCCACTGGATCAGAGCATGAGATTTTTTCCCTTTCACGCTGAGTGGTTATCGAAAGGGAGAGAGCTGGAAAGATTTTTCAAATACATTGAGGAGCTATTGTAATTCTCAATGGATGTAAAAACAGACTTTGTTTGCTTGCTGTTTGATGTGAAGAAAACATTACTTTGAGAAGCTCCACAGGTCATTAGTGGTGGTGCGTTAAGCCAATCAGAAATACTATCAGATCCCCAAATGGGCACATTTATATGCCTACATTTGCTTGCAGGCCAGGTAGCCTATAGGCCTACTTCAATGCGTGCGCGTCCTTACTTAACATTGACAGGAGGAGCGCACCAAACAAAAGACAAAGACTAAATTGACAACTCGTGAATGGAATTAAATAAACCAAAAGTTGTTTCTCACAAGTATAGCATAGGTTGTGCACTCTGCAAACAATGTGTCCACTCCGACAATGAGAACAGGAAGACGGGAATAATAATATTGAATGCATTAAAAGAAATGACTGTAACCAAAGTAACAAACATTGTAGATTAGAAATTATAGAAATTAACGGTAAATGTACTACTGGTGATATATGTCATGGAGAATATACACTAACAATCAAACGCAAACAATTCACACAATGAAGTTATGAAACAATGAATGTGCACAAATTGGCGGGAGAGCGCATTCTGGAGAGAAGTGCATTGTTCATCTGGGCGCATGGTCAATCACATGTCTGCATTGGCCATGCAGTATTTACTGTGATATGGCCTCAGCAGAAGTCAGGGCATTCATACTTATTGCGCTTCGCGGAGCAGTGCAAAGCTGTTGTCAAGGAAGTGAGTTTGTTTATACAGGATATACCGCCCCAACCAATCATGTCAATGCGGAGCAATACAGAGCCCTCCGCATTGTTAAAACATTTGGGAGGCGCATGGCGATGCGGTACAGAGCTCGATTTGGCCTCTGGAGTCTCCGCAATTGTGTCACACCCTCCATATGGAGCCGCCGACCACATTTTCGAATCAAGAATAAATTGGCTTTTGGTCTAGGCCTCTGCAATGGATTAGTTCACTGAGAGGGGAGCATATATACATTTGTTACTGCTCGACTAAAACAATCTCTGTCGAACAACAGCCTAACGACCAAATAATCGACCAGTCAACTAATGATCATGCTGTTTAATCAGCTTCTTGATATGCCACACCAGTCAGGTGGATGGATTATCTTGGCAAAGGAGAAATGGTCACTAACAGGGATGTAAACACATTTGTGCACCAAATTTGAGGGAAATAAGCTTTTTGTGCCTATGGAACATTTCTGGGATCTTTTATTTCAGCTCATGAAACATGGGACCAATACTTTACATGTTGCATTTATATTTTAGTTTAGTGAGTGTGTATATAGGCTTAACATTACATTGTTTAAAATGGTCATTCTCCAATAATATTTTGTTGAGCTCAGCTACATTTTTGGGGGCTCTGTTCCTTATTGTCTTATTATTTTCTCAGTCTTGTTTCAAGTATTACTCAAGTGATGACATCAGCAAGGATTGTGATGGCATGGACGAACAGTGCAGGTACGATGGGGTGGTTCTCCTATTTAACAAATCCTGAAATGTTAATAAACATACAGGTTGTTACATTAATCATTACTTCAATCTATTATATTTGCTTCTTACAGATGGTGTGCAGAGGGGGGAAACCTGATCTGCTGCGACTTTTGCCCCAACGCCTTCTGTAAGAAATGCATTTTGCGTAACCTGGGGCGAAAGGAGCTGTCTGGCATCCTGGATGAGGAGAGTAAGTGGTACTGCTACGTATGCAGCCCAGAGCCTCTTCTGGACCTGGTCGTCGCCTGTGACAACGTCCTTGACAACCTGGGGAGTTTGTGGCAAGACCACCGCAAGAGGGGCAGAGGCGAGGGCAAATCTGGACATTATGACTCCCATCCCAGGCATTCTCAAAACATTCCCGTGGGTCATTGGAACCATAGTGGCATGGATGGTCATGTGGTGTTCAACTACAACACCCTTCAAATTCCAGAGGAGATGGCCAAAAAGGCAAAAAACCTTGTGGACTCTACAAACACTGTAAACACAACTTTCATGAAGTTCATTCAAGGTGGAATGCAGTTAAAGCGACAATACCTGAAGACTTTCCAGTCAGTACTGAAGGGTCTAAAGAAGTCCCACACAGCTCTGGAGGAAGCCCTTTTGGAGGAGTTCAATGAGATGGGTCTGCCAAATGATGGGGAAAACCCCACGTTTTATGACACTGATGCAAGTCAACAAGCACAAGAGGGTTGCGTGGAAATGGACATTGCTGATAAAAATTGCCTGCATTACTTAAAGAAAATTGCCGCTGAACATTTGGAAGAGAATGATTCAGACTCTAAGGGCTTTACGGACGATGAAAGGCCTTCATCCTCAAGTGAAATGAAAGGTGTCCTTGGCACAGAGATAATGCCCCGTCGAGGTAGAGGCAGGCCGCGGAAAAACTCCAAGCCCGGAGAAGATCCTTCCAACGTGACAAAACAACTGGTGGTGCAACTTACACCTGTCCCTGTTGAAAAAGAGCCACTCTCTGGCCCCCCAGAGTTGGAAGTGGAGTTGGAGGAGGAAAAGGAGTTGGAGGAGGAAGAAATCAAAGAGAAAGTGGATGAACGGGAGGGAGACTGTGAATCTATTGAACCTGCAACAGAAGAGGAGTATGAATCTGCTGAGGAGGGAAGCGAATCTCTGGTGCTGGAACTGGAAGAGGAACCAGAGAATAGACGCTCACCTCGGGTAAAGACCACGCCCTTACGCAGGCCAGGTGAGGGCAAGACCAAGCCTACCCCCTCAGGCCCTGACAGCGAGGGTGAGTCAGACCCTGACACCAGCCCCAATGTTGAAGTGCCTCAAGGAGCTGACGAGGGAGGGCTTGGGAGAGGAATTGAAGACTCTGACTCCGATGAGGTCCCTGCTGTCCTTCAGCGGGCGGCCATGGCTCGCAGTTCAGACGAAGCCGGGAGTGACGATGGAGACCATCGGAGCGTGACCAAGAAATGCCTCTTCGGCCTGAAGAAGAACACGCCCCTCTCTCCAGAAAGAGTGGTCCGCAAACGCAAGGTGCAAGACCGCTCCTCTGACTCCTCCAGTGACGATCCAGACCTGCAGAAGGAGATCAAGACTATGAGCAGGCCCAGGGGGAGGCCTCGGAAGGTTAAGAGAGATGCTGAACCTACCCCCAGCAAGGATAGTCCACAACATAGGCCCCTGGGCAGACCTCGGAAGGTCAAGAAAGAGGATGAATCTTCATCCAGCAAGGAGGGTAGTACCCAGGTAACCAAGCCTAAAAGCACACCTCGGTCCCAGCAGAGAACAAAGCAGACGCCATCCTCTTCCAGTCAAGAAGAGGGCTACCAGGATTCTGAATCTAGCGACGACAGTGGTGACCAGAAGATCAAGCCCATCACTGAGGAGGTGGCCTTACTGGGGGCAGCAGCTTTCCACCAGTCGTCTGGTGAGTTGGTCTCTCACTTTCTCTGCAAAGCACTGCATTTATGAGCTGTATTTCAACCCTTTTAAGGTAGCCATGTAGATTTCCTCATTGGCAAATGTTGAGCTGACCTTCTCTGTTTTTTGTACTCTCACTCTGTAGGCGATGAAGAGCAGCCCCGGTCTGGGCCTTCTTGGGCAGCAGAAGATGATGACGATCCAGAAAATAGGTATGGTTCCGAACGAATGGACTTAGCGTTTGTAACACACCCTAGGCGCGGGAGAAAGGCCACGCCACGGAGCTCTAAGTCGAGTGCTAATAATGGTGACTCAAGACCCCTTCCCAATCAATACCGTCTCGTCCAACCCGCAGCTGCAGTAAACCAGCAGCTATCCCATACAATTTCTAGTGTAGAGCACAGAGGTACCGTGTCAAGCACAGGGAGAAACCCCTCCTCATACCTTGCTAAGGCTGTGTTATGAATGATAGGCCACTTATGCCACTGTGTTTTCATTGACCTTTTCTTTAATTTAATATTTCTTTTAAATTTAAAGTTAAATGTGAGTTGTCTATTAGCAGAATGTGGCATCATTTGTCCATGTCTGTGCATTTCAAGGTGATTAAGAGGGGAAATGCTGGTTATTGTATTAGTTTGCACAAAAGCCTGATGCACTTATTAAAACAGATTAAACAAATTATTTTATATCTCATAGTTTCTCATTTGTCAACAATACTGTAAGTCATCCTTTCTTCCACAGACAGTATTCTTTTTATTTTTTACCAAATAAATAACGGTATACTGTATATTAAAACATATTTTAAGCCATGTTAAAGGTATTGATTGCATTATTTGTAAATAGTGTGATTATACTATTTTTTTATATATATATATGTTAGGGTGCACTCATTTGAATCTGGATTCTGATTCTTGATCTATGGTTTGATGGTAGTACAAGTTGCGTTGAGTTTTGCTCCGCATAAGAACAAGCCAGAAAGCTTATGTCTATGTAGAATTTTTTTTAGCAAAGCACATCCTAAACTGGTTAAAACTAATAAAAAAGCGAATAAACCACACCAGGGTACTGAATACACATCTGAACGAATACACATCTGAACATACCCTTAGACTTAATTTTCAGATCTGGATATATTTATCTTTCACTATACTAGGGGTGAATTACATTCCTATCACTGGGAATTGGTCATCATGGAGTTTGATGTCATTTCTGAACTGACTGGGATTTGGACCCCAACCCTCATATTAGACATCCCCTAATGGTCAGCTCATGCTCAGGCATTCTTTAGGGTGGCAGTATTGTACATGACTGCACCCTTGTGGCTGCTGGATGTTGCCCATTTCTCTAAGGCAGTGTAAAAGCATACACGTTACTGCTAGTATTTGGTAATTGTGTTGTTGTATGGTTACTGTATGGAAGATTTTTGTCTTGATATATTTGAAGTTCATGTGCAAAATGCCAGTGGTGTGGTGGCTGTATTTAGCGCTGCTATTCTGACACTGTTGAGTACTAATACGATGGGTTGACTATCCAGTGATTCTCTGAACAGACTGGAAAACAATCTATTCTGCTTGATTGAATCTTTAAAATATGATTATCGCTTCTGACCAGGTTGAGGGCTTAGCAGAGAAAGAGGACTAAACAGCAGTATACCAAAGACACTGATTATAAGACCCTACCTACTGTACTGCATTTGATATACTTTGTTTTGTGCCTTTTTTCACCACAGGCAACAAGCTGCATTTCTTGTATGCTTTGTTTGTTATACTAATTGCATAATCATATTTAGAGTATTTTAATGTTTGTTTTGCATGCAAGGCCACATTTATTGGCCGTTTACCTACATTTTAAATTATTTAAAAACTGCTAATTTAATGCAATTGCATTTTACTTTGGAGGAGCTCGATGCCTTAAGCCTAAAGGCAACAGCTCGGAAAGCTGGTCCTGTAGAATGGTTGTAATGTATTTTATTCAACCTCAACTTTGTGTCCTCTTGTGACCTCTGAGGTCAGCCTTACAACGTTGCTGTGAGACGAGGAGGCGTGTTGTCTGTAGTGAAGTGTCTTTTTCTTCTTCCATTTTCTCTCTTCCCAGTTTAAACACTTGTGGTAAGGCCTCAGGCCCAGGCTGTTGCCGGCCGCTGCTGTTTTGATACTGCCTCATATGAGGGGCCCTCATCATGTACACGTACTTCTCGCTGAGGGTCGTCCGAGGCTTCGTTCAACTATTACTATCTGCCAAAAGGATTGTTTCTGCAAAACATATTCATGTGTAAATAGATGCATGTATTTCACAGAATATTGAACTTCGTAAAAAGTCCTACAAAACCATTTTGACCCAGTTGTTTTTTTGTTTTTTCTTTACCCTTCACAAACTATTTCTTGCATACCACCTAAAAAAAAAAGTGGTTGGAAGAACTTTTTTTCCAAATTGAATTAATAATGATGTTGTCTTTAGCTCTGAGGTGCTGTATTGTTAAAGGCCTGTTACTTGTAGAGCATGCGTCAGACCAAGGATATGTTCTTACTTTTGTTATTGACTGAATTCTGTAAGAGAAACTATCCGTTGTAATAAATGAATACCCTTTATAATGTCTCGTATGTCTTCATTATTCTATATAGGACCAGGTTTGTTAATCTTGGGAGTGATCAGTCTTAGATGTTTGTTATGGAGGGGAGGGGTTGATTCAAATGTGCTTAGAAGGCAGTTAGGTTATCTGGCCTTTGACTCCTCAATGTGTTGCGTTTTTAAGATGAAATTAAGTGAAATGGTCTTTGACAGAGCATTTCAGCTCTGTCTATTTGGTCACATTATAACAGATATTTACATCAGTAAAGAAATACATTAAATTGTCGGTTGTTTACAGGTCAGGGACTGCAAAGTACTAGAATAGCTAAAGTTACATTATTTTCATTAATTCTAGAATAAATGTATATCCTGGTGATATTGTTAAGTTTAAGGTGAAATCCTGCGTCTTGATTGTAAATTCCTATCTAAGACAAGTTCCTTTAGAGAATAAACCTATTAAGCAGGGCTTGTTGGATTTGATGTGATGATCATTAAAATGATCCTCCGGTCCCTTTTCCCTCTCTTCCTTGCTTCTGAAAGAATCGCTAAGAAAATGCTTTTGGCCCAAATCAAAGCCAACTACTCATCGGGGGAGGATTTCTCTTCAGACGAGGAGTCATCACAGGATGATGAATCTGACAGGGGAGAGAAGGCACAGGAAGATGGGAAAGATGAAAGCTCAGATGAGAATGGTAAGTGATCCCTCCTTAACTCCACTACAATTTCACATTTGTTTATTTTGAGATTAGTCATTAGGCTGAAATACTGTCCTGACATGACCTGTTTCTTAGTAACTGGGCATTTTAAAGTAGGCCCATATTGTAATTGTGGTGATCTAAGACATCACCCTGTGTCACTGCTTATTAGTGTACAGGTTTAATTAACATTCACTATAGGAATATGATGTCCTCCTATAATACACCATGTTGTTTCTGCTGCAGGGGAGACCTCCAGTTTGACCTCTGACTCCGAGTCCAGTAAAACTCGTCACAGACACAGTCTGCTACGCCACAAGCTCAGCCTTGACGATGGAAATCCAAATGGTCGGAAAACAGCTAAAGAAAATGGGAATGAGCAGAAAGTCAAGAAGTCTAGAAGAACCGAAGGTGTGTGTGGGATGGGTTCTGTGGAACGACTTTATGATTGGATACCATCAGTGCCCTAGACTAGTTTTGGAGTTGGTCCTATTACTCAGTGAACTAATTCTCTGCTTTCGTCCATCGCCTCAGGTGAGACATTGGATAGCCAGAGTAGTGCTGATAATAGCCAATCAGAGCAGGAAGAGTCTGGTATGAGTGAAGAGCTGAGCCAATCAGAGAATGAGGGCAATGAACAGAAGCCCAAAAGGTAAGACGTCTCCTTATTTGTTTTGTCAATGCTGCTAACCAGGAAGGAAACCTTGTGTTTTCTGTCATCATTACATGTAATTGTGGTTGCATTCTTTATTTAGTGAAATATCTTTGTGCTCTTTTGTCTCCTTAGCTCATCTACCTCTAGAGTCGAGAGGGAATCAGTCCGTAGTTATCTACAGAAGAAGCAGCAACCCTCATATATTGTGCTGTCTGACTCCAGTGTCGATAAGGTAATCACTAGTGGATGTCGCCATCTCATTTTACCTTTGCATTGTCAGTTGCCTTTTTATATTCTTCTTAATAACTTCTTGATGTGCAACTATTGGATTTCTGAGAGGTATGATGATTATTCTGCTATTCTTGTTTTCTGTTTGTGTATTATCAGGTGCTAAATGTTAAATTGTATGTTTTTTTACTGGTAAAAGCGTTGTTGTGCTGGTGATCTCCTGATCTATCTAAACAGAGTGATGATGAAGAGAAGGACGGAGAGGAAGGCGACAACAAAGGTACACCTAAGGGCCGCAAGAAGATCCGCAGGATCATTGTAGATGAGCACCTCCGCTCAGAGACTCAGAGAGCCCTGAAGGAGGAGGAGGAGAGACGCAGACGCCTGGCAGAAAGAGAGCAGAGGGAGGACTTCAGAGAGGTACACTACACACAGCTGACCCTCTCCATGCACACTCACTGTAGAAACCATGCTCTCTCAGAAATATCATACTGTTACTCTATTTTATTTTATTTGAATAAATTATATATTATATCTATATATGGTTTATATGATCAGTTTTGGTCTAATGGTGGTTTCCTCACAGGTGATTGTTATTGATGACGAGATGTCTAAAGTGGCATGTCCCATCACCACTAAGCTCGTCTTGGATCAGGATGAGGGGACCAGGGAGCCACTCATCCAGGTGCACAGGAACCTGGTGACCAGGCTCAAGCCTCACCAGGTGGATGGTAAGTCTCGGTTTTTATTTCAGTTGTACAAATCCAATACATACAATAATTAACATACAGTGGCAAATACAACATTGTCCCTTCAATTTGCTGTATCTCTTCCTTTTGACAGGTGTCCAGTTTATCTGGGACTGTTGTTGTGAGTCTGTGAAGAAGGCCAATTCAACCCCTGGATCAGGCTGCTTACTGGCCCACTGCATGGGCCTAGGGAAGACACTGCAGGTAAGACGAAGGGAAGAGAGAACAGAAGGAGTGTTTAGGATTTTATTTGGATCCCCATTAGCTGTTGCAAAAGCAGCAGCTACTCTTCCTGGGGTCCAAAAAATAAATAAAACATGACATAATACAGAACAATAATAGACAAGAACAGCTCAAGAACAGCGCAACATACATTCAAACTAAATAGAAAAATAGAAAAGGACCCTTAGGAAAAACATATTACTTTACATAGACATAGAAGTTATTTAGGTCAGCTAGGGGCCTTGTGCTGTAAGATGTTTTATTCGTTTTTTAAAAGCTGATTTTGCGGTTTGCTTTGGTAATTTGAGATGGAAGGGCGTTCCATGTAACTATAGCTCTGTACAATACTGTGCATTGCCTTGAATTTGTTTTGGACTTGGGGATTGTGAAGAGACCCCTGGTGATATGTCTGGCGGGGTATGTACAGTGAGGGAAAAAAGTATTTGATCCCCTGCTGATTTTGTACGTTTGCCCACTGACAAAGACATGATCAGTCTATAATTTTAATGGTAGGTTTATTTGAACAGTGAGAGACAGAATAACAACAAAAAAATCCAGAAAAACGCATGTCAAAAATGTTATAAATTGATTTGCATTTTAATGAGGGAAATAAGTATTTGACCCCTCTGCAAAACATGACTTAGTACTTGGTGGCAAAACCCTTGTTGGCAATCACAGAGGTCAGACGTTTCTTGTAGTTGGCCACCAGGTTTGCACACATCTCAGGAGGGATTTTGTCCCACTCCTCTTTGCAGATCTTCTCCAAGTCATTAAGGTTTCAAGGCTGACGTTTGGCAACTCAAACCTTCAGCTCCCTCCACAGATTTTCTATGGGATTAAGGTCTGGAGACTGGCTAGGCCACTCCAGGACCTTAATGTGCTTCTTCTTGAGCCACTCCTTTGTTGCCTTGGCCGTGTGTTTTGGGTCATTGTCATGCTGGAATACCCATCCACGACCCATTTTCAATGCCCTGGCTGAGGGAAGGAGGTTCTCACCCGAGATTTGACGGTACATGGCCCCGTCCATCGTCCCTTTGATGCAGTGAAGTTGTCCTGTCCCCTTAGCAGAAAAACACCCCCAAAGCATAATGTTTCCACCTCCATGTTTGACGGTGGGGATGGTGTTCTTGGGGTCATAGGCAGCATTCCTCCTCCTCCAAACACGGCGAGTTGAGTTGATGCCAAAGAGCTCGATTTTGGTCTCATCTGACCACAACACTTTCACCCAGTTCTCCTCTGAGTCATTCAGATGTTCATTGGCAAACTTCTTGAGCAGGGGGACCTTGTGGGCGCTGCAGGATTTCAGTCCTTCACGGCGTAGTGTGTTACCAATTGTTTTCTTGGTGACTATGGTCCCAGCTGCCTTGAGATCATTGACAAGATCCTCCTGTGTAGTCCTGGGCTGATTCCTCACCATTCTCATGATCATTGCAACTCCACGAGGTGAGATCTTGCATGGAGCCCCAGGCCGAGGGAGATTGACAGTAATTTTGTGTTTCTTCCAGTTGCGAATAATCGCACCAACTGTTGTCACCTTCTCACCAAGCTGTTTGGCGATGGTCTTGTAGCCCATTCCAGCCTTGTGTAGGTCTACAATCTTGTCCCTGACATCCTTGGAGATCTCTTTGGTCTTGGCCATGGTGGAGCGTTTGCAATCTGATTGATTGATTGATTGCTTCTGTGGACAGGTATCTTTTATACAGGTAACAAACTGAGATTAAGAGCACTCCCTTTAAGAGTGTGCTCCTAATCTCAGCTCGTTACCTGTATAAAAGACACCTGGGAGCCAGAAATCTTTCTGATTGAGAGGGGGTCAAATACTTATTTCCCTCATTAAAATGCAAATCAATTTATAACATTTTTGACATGCGTGTTTCAGGATTTTTGTTGTTGTTATTCTGTCTCTCACTGTTCAAATAACCCTACCATTAAAATTATAGACTGATCATTTCTTTGTCAGTGGGCAAACATACAAAATCAGCAGGGGATCAAAAACTTTTTTCCCTCACTGTATGTCTGTCAGAGCTGTGACAGACATGTTGTCGTATGCATGTGTCATTAACAAAACCGTATATTTTATTAATAATACTAGACTTAATAGAGTTTCTTGCTTAAATATTTTTCTCATTTAGGTGGTGACATTTCTCCACACGATGCTGCAGTCAAGGTGCCTGAAGTTCAGGACTGCCCTGGTGGTGTGTCCACTCAACACTATCCTCAACTGGGTCAACGAGTTTGACAAGTGGCAAGTTGACATGGGAGCCGACAAAGTCAAGGTAGTCAAGGAGATTAGATTTTTTTTCTTTGTAGTTAAATACATGCAGAGGTTATTGATATGCAATGTATTAGCGAGAAATAGTAATGGCGTCTTTTTGTAGGCACTAACTCCGCCATGGTTTGTTGGACAAAGCCTATGTAGAAATAAATTGGTGTTTTTGGATAAACACTGAAAATAAGCTCTGTGGTAAACACAGGCTTAGGAGATTTTATAAATTTGGTTGTATGAAATCAGCTAATTTCACTTTTTGTGAATGTTGAAGCATTTGTCATTTTAAAAAGCACATAAATGCTTAATAATTCATAAAGGCCATGTTAACTGACTGATATCTCATAGAACAAAACTTAGAAAATCTCCTAAGCTTGTGTTGACCTCAGACCTTATTTTCGGCATTTATCCCAAAACCCTATTCTCTCCCCATTCATTTTCACCGTAGAAATGGCTGAATGAACCAAGAGGTAACACATTTCCGGGTTTTAGGACTACAAGCTGGCGAGCTCTATATTCAAAGTATTTAATGTTACTTCCATCTCTTTCATCTCCCTGTCCCTGGCTCGACCTCTTCATTTCTCTCACCCTTTCTTTTTCTCTCGGTCTCTATACACTAACATACACCTCGTAGGTGACAGAGTTGGCCACACTGAAGCGACCTCAGGAGCGTTATATTGCCCTGCAGAGATGGCAGAAGGATGGTGGTGTTATGATCATTGGCTATGAGATGTACCGCAACCTCACACTAGGCCTCAAAGTCACCCACAGAAAATTCAAAAAGACCTTTGACAGCGCACTGGTCAATCCAGGTACATCCTCTACTAATTCTATGCATGTAGTGTTGAGAGGTATGCACCAATTTTTAAGTAGTTTAATTTATTGTTTATTTATTGTGTAGAAACTCTAATACACTCCACTACATTTGTTGTACTCCAGGTCCAGACTTTGTGATCTGCGACGAGGGGCACATCCTTAAGAACGAGGCTTCCAACATCTCCAAAGCTATGAGTGCCATTAAGACCAAACGGAGAGTGGTGCTGACAGGCACTCCACTGCAGAACAACCTCAATGAGTGTAAGGAGGCCTGCTTCAGTTTGAGTGCAGCCTATGACAACCTTTCCATTTAAAACTGTACTCTGTGACCAGTATGCCAACGTCTGGAGAAGTTAATTCATATTTCAGTTTTATTATATCTCAAAACTGATTTTAGGAGAACATAACAAACTTGCATGATAATTTCCTTGTTAATGTTCAAGTGTAGTCATATCTTATATATTTTGGTTCTCTCAGACCACTGCATGGTGAACTTCATCAAGGAGAACCTTCTGGGCTCAATCAAGGAGTTCCGGAATCGCTTTATCAACCCCATTCAGAATGGCCAGTGTGCAGACTCCACCCCCAGAGACGTCCGCATCATGAAGAATCGCGCCCATGTCCTTCATGAAATGTTGGCGGGATGTGTACAGGTGAGACAGCTCAATTACTAGGAGTGTACGGCACTTTCATTTGTAGTTTATCAGAACCACTGACTACTTTTTGCAAGTATTTGTTGTATGTTCTTTGTCAGTCTCCAGTGGAAACACTTATTGTGTTTTTCCTCTCTCTCAGAGAAGAGACTACTCAGCCTTGACCAAGTTCCTGCCTCCTAAACATGAGTATGTTATGGCGGTGAGGGTGACCCCCCTCCAGTACAGACTGTATCGCTACTACCTGGACAACTTCACTGGTAAGAACCTCCATCCATAGCCAGTTAGCTCAGAAAGCTCTGTAATGAAATGTGTATGAGATTTGGAGACATTTTGGCATTTACTGAGAACATATGGAGAAAAAAGCTGAATGTGTGTGTAGGAGCAGGATCCGTAGTTGAGGGAGCCAGGGGCAAGGCCGGAACCAGCCTCTTTAAGGACTTCCAGATACTCAGCCGAATCTGGACGCATCCCTGGTGTCTGCAGCTCAACTATATCAGTAAAGAAAATAAGGTAAAGACCCATCAGATGCGGGTTTGAACAAAAGTACTATTTTCTCATCACCAGACAGATCCTGATGCATCAGTCAAACTGTCACCAACCGAGATTCTCTTTGTTTTCAGGGCCATTTTGATGGAAAGCACCAGGGGAAAGCTGAGAGGTGTGTAGAAATACTACTCACAGTTTGCTGCACGCACAAAATAAATATTAGACTGCGAGGCTCTTGATCCAGGAGGGGATTCTCTGCTGTTACCAAGTGAAGCTTGATTTTGGAAGAAGCTAACCACTTATCTAGATAGCTAACTAGCTACTAAATTAGCAAATCAAATGCACAACTGCAGAGCATTAGCACATTTTTGACAGTTAACTTATTTGTTATAAGATATCTAGCTGGCAAACATTAGTTATGAATTACATACTGTAACTAGATCACCTGCCACTTGCTGCACAACAGTGAGTGACTCAAGGCTCCGGTCTCTTGACTGGGAACTACTATGTGACTGGGAACTACTGGTAAGCTTCATAATGAAAAATTATGTGACTGGTGAAATGAAGAACGCGGTTTTCTTTAGCTCCTAATGTATTGCGCAAGTTGACTGCAGGTATTTACTTAAAAAGTATGAAAATGTATGCACTCACTTAACTGTAAGTTGCTCTGGATAAGAGCGTCTGCTAAATGACTAAAATGTAAATGTAAAAAGTAGCTACAAATATTATTATTATTTTATACTTTTAAGAAACAGTTTGAATGGTATTGACAGTATTGGAAAAACCATCCTGTGGCTATTTCCAAATACCCCTGTATACGGTATACAGTGAGGGGAAAAAAGTATTTGATCCCCTGCTGATTTTGTAAGTTTGCCCACTGACAAAGAAATTCAGTCTATAATTTTAATGGTAGGTTTATTTGAACAGTGAGAGACAGAATAACAACAACAAAAATCCAGAAAAATGCATGTCAAAAATGTTATAAATTGATTTACGTTTTAATGAGGGAAATAAGTATTTGACCCCTCTGCAAAACATGACTTAGTACTTGGTGGCAAAACCCTTGTTGGCAATCACAGAGGTCAGACGTTTCTTGTAGTTGGCCACCAGTTTTGCACACATCTCAGGAGGGATTTTGTCCCACTCCTCTTCGCAAATCTTCTCCAAATCATTAAGGTTTTGAGGCTGACGTTTGGCAACTCGAACCTTCAGCTCCCTCCACAGATTTTCTATGGGATTAAAGTCTGGAGACTGGCTAGGCCACTCCAGGACCTTAATGTGCTTCTTCTTGAGCCACTCATTTGTTGCCTTGGCCCTGTGTTTTGTTTCATTGTCATGCTGGAATACCCATCCACAACCCATTTTCAATGCCCTGGCTGAGGGAAGGAGGTTCTCACCCAAGATTTGACGGTACATGGCCCCGTCCATCGTCCCTTTGATGCGGTGAAGTTGTCCTGTCCCCTTAGCAGAAAAACACCCCCAAAGCATAATGTTTCCACCTCCATGTTTGACGGTGGGGATGGTGTTCATGTTCATTGGCAAACTTCAGACGGGCCTGTATATGTGCTTTCTTGAGCAGGGGGACCTTGCGGGCGCTGAAGGATTTCAGTCCTTCACGGCGTAGTGTGTTACCAATTGTTTTCTTGGTGACTATGGTCCCAGCTGCCTTGAGATCATTGACAAGATCCTCCCGTGTAGTTCTGGGCTGATTCCTCACCGTTCTCATGATCATTGCAATTCCACGAGGTGAGATCTTGCATGGAGCCCCAGGCCGAGGGAGATTGACAGTTATTTTGTGTTTCTTCCATTTGCGAATAATCGCACCAACTGTTGTCACCTTCTCACCAAGCTGTTTGGCGATGGTCTTGTAGCCCATTCCAGCCTTGTGTATCGTTTGGAATCTGATTGATTGATTGCTTTTGTGGACAGGTGTCTTTTTATACAGGTAACAAGCTGAGATTAGGAGCACTCCCTTTAAGAGTGTGCTCCTAATCTCATCTCGTTACCTGTATAAAAGACACCTGGGAGCCAGAAATCTTTCTGATTGAGAGGGGGTCAAATACTTATTTCCCTCATTAAAATGCAAATCAATTTATAAAATTTTTGACATGTGTGTTTCTGGATTTTTTTGTTGTTATTCTGTCTCTCGCTGTTCAAATAAACCTACCATTAAAATTATAGACTGATCATTTCTTTGTCAGTGGGAAAACGTACAAAATCAGCAGTGAATCAAAAACTTTTTTCCCTCACTGTATATGGTATACCGCCCAAGCCTACACTTAAGCAGTCCACAAAGTTAATGCGTGTCCCATGTGCGCTTGGTGGAGTCCGATTTATTTGTATTTATTTTTTGCAACGCGCACCTTTTGGTAACATGATACCTCGCCTGTCCATTCGTTTCTAGACTCCCAAAAAGCAAACTTCACAAGGAGGCGATAGCAGAGGTTTTCTTTTTGTTGTCTGCCCATTTGTGGTAAAGGAAAAAATTATCACATTGACAACAACATCATCACCACTGCAAGCAAATTTGAAAGAAAACCAACTGCATATTTAAATAATAGCTACATATAATGAAAGTTTAGGTTTGTTTTACATTACGTCATGTTGTGCCTTCCAGTAGACTGTAGGCTACACTGCTAGCATCTTGCTAGCTACACTACATGACCAAAAGTATGTGGACACCTGCTCGTCGAACATCTTGTTCCAAAATCATGTGCATTAATATGGAGTTGGTCCCCCCTTTGCTGCTATAACAGCTTCCACTCTTCTGGGAAGATGTTGGAACATTGCTGCGGGGACTTGCTTCCATTCAGCCACAAGCATTAATGAGGTCGGGCACTGATGTTGGGCGATTAGGCCTAGCTCGCAGTCGGCGTTCCATTTCATCCCAAAGGTGTTCGATGGGGTTGAGGTCAGGGCTCTGTGCAGGCCAGTCATAGTTCTTCCACACCGATCTCGATTAACCATTTCTGTATGGACCTCGCTTTGTGCATGGGGGCATTGTCATGCTGAAACAGGAAAGGGCCTTCCCCAAACTGTTGCCACAAGTTGGAAGCACAGAATTGTCTAGAATATCATTGTATGATGTAGCGTTAAGATTTCCCTTCACTGGAACTAAGGGGCCTAGCCCGAACCATGAAAAACAGCCCCAGACTATTATTCCTCCACTAAACTTTACAGTTGGCACTATGCATTGGGGCAGGTAGCGTTCTCCTGGCATCCGCCAAACCCAGATTTGTCCGTCGGACTGCCAGATGGTGAAACGTGATTCATCACTCCAGAGAACGCATTTCCACTGCTCCAGAGTCCAATGGCGGCGAGCTTTACACCACTCCAGCTTGGCATTGCGCATGGTGATCTTAGGCTTGTGTGCGGCTGCTCGGCCATGGAAACCCATTTCATGTAGCTCCCGACAAACAGTTATTGTGCTGACGTTGCTTCCAGAGGCAGTTTGGAACTCGGTAGTGAGTGTTGCAACCGAGGACAGATGATTTTTACGCGCTTCAGCACTCGGCAGTCCTGTTCTGTGAGCTTGTGTGGCCTATCACTTCGCGACTGAGCCGTTGTTGCTCCTAGACTTTTCCACTTCACAATAACAGCACTTACAGTTGAACGGGCAGCTCTAGCAGTGCAGAAATTTGACGAACTGACTTGTTGGAAAGGTGGCATCCTATGACGGTGCCACGTTGAAAGTCACTGAGCATTAAGGCCATTCTACTGCCAATATTTGTCTATGGAGATTGCATGGCTGTGTGCTCGATTTTATACACCTGTCAGCGATGGGTGTGGCTGAAGTAGCTGAATCCACAAATTTGAAGGGGTGTCCACACACTTTGTATATATATAGTGTATCTGGCTAAAAACAGCAAGCAAGCTAGCCTTTTAGCTTCCCACATCGTAGCCATGTGAAATTATCTGATTTATAAATAATATGCCCTGGCATATACAGTGGGGAAAAAAAGTATTTAGTCAGCCACCAATTGTGCAAGTTCTCCCACTTAAAAAGATGAGAGAGGCCTGTAATTTTCATCATAGGTACACGTCAACTATGACAGACAAATGAGAAAAAAAATCCAGAAAATCACATTGTAGGATTTTTAATGAATTTATTTGCAAATTATGGTGGAAAATAAGTATTTGGTCAATAACAAAAGTTTCTCAATACTTTGTTATATACCCTTTGTTGGCAATGACACAGGTCAAATGTTTTCTGTAAGTCTTCACAAGGTTTTCACACACTGTTGCTGGTATTTTGGCCCATTCCTCCATGCAGATCTCCTCTAGAGCAGTGATGTTTTGGGGCTGTCGCTGGGCAACACGGACTTTCAACTCCCTCCAAAGATTTTCTATGGGGTTAAGATCTGGAGACTGGCTAGGCCACACCAGGACCTTGAAATGCTTCTCACGAAGCCACTCCTTCGTTGCCCGGGCGGTGTGTTTGGGATCATTGTCATGCTGAAAGACCCAGCCACGTTTCATCTTCAATGCCCTTGCTGATGGAAGGAGGTTTTCACTCAAAATCTCACGATACATGGCCCCATTCATTCTTTCCTTTACACGGATCAGTCATCCTGGTCCCTTTGCAGAAAAACAGCCCCAAAGCATGATGTTTCCACCCCCATGCTTCACAGTAGGTATGGTGTTCTTTGGATGCAACTCAGCATTCTTTGTCCTCCAAACACGACGAGTTGAGTTTTTACCAAAAAGTTATATTTTGGTTTCATCTGACCAGATGACATTCTCCCAATTCTCTTCTGGATCATCCAAATGCACTCTAGCAAACTTCAGACGGGCCTGGACATGTACTGGCTTAAGCAGGGGGACACGTCTTGCACTGCAGGATTTGAGTCCCTGGCGGCGTAGTGTGTTACTGATGGTAGGCTTTGTTACTTTGGTCCCAGCTCTCTGCATGTCATTCACTAGGTCCCCCCGTGTGGTTCTGGGATTTTTACTCACCGTTCTTGTGATAATTTTGACCCCACGGGGTGAGATCTTGCGTGGAGCCCCAGATCGAGGGAGATTATCAGTGGTCTTGTATGTCTTCCATTTCCTAATAATAGCTCCCACAGTTGATTTCTTCAAACCAAGCTGCTTACCTATTGCAGATTCAGTCTTCCCAGCCTGGTGCAGGTCTACAATTTTGTTTCTGGTGTCCTTTGACAGCTCTTTGGTCTTGGCCATAGTGGAGTTTGGAGTGTGACTGTTTGAGGTTGTGGACAGGTGTCTTTTATACTGATAACAAGTTCAAACAGGTGCCATTAATACAGGTAACGAGTGGAGGACAGAGGAGCCTCTTAAAGAAGAAGTTACAGGTCTGTGAGAGCCAGAAATCTTGCTTGTTTGTAGGTGACCAAATACTTATTTTCCACCATAATTTGCAAATAAATTCATAAAAAATCCTACAATGTGATTTTCTGGAGAAAAAAAATCTCAATTTGTCTGTCATAGTTGACGTGTACCTATGATGAAAATTACAGGCCTCTCTCATCTTTTTAAGTGGGAGAACTTGCACAATTGGTGGCTGACTAAATACTTTTTTCCCCACTGTACTTGCCAGTGTAATTTACAACATTATCTCAGTTTGATATGCAGCTTGAATGTATTGGCTCCCTTATCAGATAAACATAGAATGTAATTTTTCCTCATGGAGAAAATAGGCACATGGCTACAACTGTTTTCACTGTTTCAAAATAGCCTACAATCACATAGGTATTACTTCCAAACAAAATACATTTTGGGGGGGATTCTAATAAGGCTACAACGTTTGGTTTATTGTTTGAACAGTCGCTGAGATTATTTTTTGGTTATCATTGCAAAATGGGCAGTTTATTATTTAAATGTTTTTATGCATAGCCTATAGATCAGCTCAGGAACCAAGCAAGTTGGTTCAGCGTCATTATCTACACAACACTGCCACCACTGCAACGTAAGGAATAATACGTTGCGTTTCAAAATGTGAGTATCGCAAATGTGCATAGCAAGCAACGTAGGTGGGCAGGACTACGTACTACAAGGAGCCGTTCATTTTGTGACGAAAAACAGCATTCACTTACCGCGTTGCGCAGTGATTGCGTTAACTGCGTAGCGTCTGCCGAGTGCTTTAACTGCTACCACAGTGTGATGCTTGAAGTAGGTTATCTATCGCCATCAAAAGGTAATCTCATGCAAATAATAGATTGTTGCCTTTCATACTTTCCTTTGTCCCACTCAGTAAAGAGAAGGAGAACAAGGGACAATTGCGGAATGCTGATGAAAAAAGCAATGATGTGGATGTGATCCTGGTGTGGAACAGCACATCAAAGGGTGTCAATGTGGAAGGAGACCAGCGAGCAGGTCCACTGGTTCCAGTGGTAGAAGGTAGTAGTCTTTTAAATTACATTTTACATTACCTTCTTGTGTTACAATTGAACATTTAAAATTATTGAAATGATGAATTCATTAATATAAGGTGATCTTATTCATATGAGGTCAGTGGTGATATTGTATGCTCTGTGTTCAGCGGTGAGAGCGTCCACCAGTTTCAGGCCTGACAGTCCGGCTGCAGACTGGTACAAGGATATGCTGAGTGACTCTGATGCCACCATCCTGGGACACTCAGGGAAGATGGTGCTGCTGTTTGAGATTCTCGGAATGGCAGAGGAACTGGACGACAAACTGTAAGTGTGCTTGAGAAATGCATTCAGGCACCATGGAGATATTTAAAAAAAATAACGATCAAGTTTGCCAGAAGTTTACAGAGCGTCTTCGTCAATTTCTGTTTGAATTTTTGTTTGTATATTCACAGGTTGGTATTCAGTCAATCCTTGATCTCATTAGACATGATTGAAGATTTCTTGGACCTCGCTAACAAAGCCAAAAACAACGGACAATCATCCCTATACAAAGGTACCATTCCCATTGGCTGTTCAAATATTCAAACATATGTTATAGTGTTAGAAAACAATTGTTTTCTTCAGAGAGTCTATAATTGTGTTATAATTTATATGTTTCTTTTTCCAAACTGTAGGTGATGGCAGCTGGATCAGAAACACTGACTATTACCGTATTGATGGGTCCACCAGCGCCACATCCAGGAAGAAATGGGCTGAAGAGTTCAATGATGCCACCAATGAGCGGTACGTCTTTGTCTGACTGATGTACTATTCTACATCTCAAATTTCACTGTGCCAAACCTCAACACAGTATTTAGCGTAACACTTTACTTAGTATTGTATTATTATTCATGACAAGGCATCAGTAATTGTAGACGTAGTGTAATTTCTTGAGATGGTCTGTTTAAGATTCTACTCACACTCACTCCTTTGATTTCATTTCTTACCCCTTTACTTTCAGAGGTCGTCTGTTTCTCATCTCGACAAGAGCTGGGTCCCTTGGGATTAATCTGGTAGCAGCTAACAGGGTCATAATTTTTGACGCTTCATGGAACCCCTCCTATGACATCCAGAGCATCTTCAGGGTGTACCGTTTTGGACAGCTAAAGGCCGTGTTTGTCTACCGCTTCTTGGCTCAGGTAATCACATCTCCTATGCACTCTATCTCCTGTAATATGATTGTGGGACACATTTTGTGTTTATTACATATACAGTAAAATCTGAAATTGTTGATAAGATTAGCCAAAAATACTATAAAATAAATACAAATACTGAGCTATATTGTATGCAAAAAAATAAACAAATTGGTACGAGATTTTGTTAAACGAGTAAAAAATTAAAAATGGGTGTCCAAATTATTGGCACCCCTAACGATTCTTATAAATATAATCAAACAATGTGATCTGCATTAACATTCTACTTTTTAAAGTTAAAGGCCAGGCACCACACCCTAATAGGGGATTTTCCCCCATTAATCATATCACAATCAACTTTTACCAGTTGAATATAGATACGCATAATACGTTTTGGTTATTAAAATGTTTCTGAAATATTGTATCGGAATATGCAAATTAGGTAATATTTCATTAAATATTCACATTTTACATATCCCGCAACAAAAAAAATTGGTTCACTGGATTAAGTCAGCGTAAATATTTAGGTAAAATGGTCCTGAAACCTTCATACAGACATAAAGGGGAAACAATAGTATCGATTTAATGTACAAAAACCACCACTTTTTGAGTTACGAGGTTTGCATCTGACAGTGCCTATTTGCATATCCCGCAAATCCATTTTTCGGGACACTGGATTAAGTCTGTGTAAATATTAGGACCGGACTTACTCAGAGCAGATTGTGGATAAATACTTTTTTCATCTTTCTATCTGTAAAATACTAAAGACATAAAATGAATTTTGGTATATTTTTCGAAAGAAAATGTATTTTTGTTTTTATATATTTATTTTTTATTTCATTTATTATTATTTTTTTTTGGGGGGGAAGGATCAGCTTAATATTGCAGATAGATTGTATCTTCTATCAATGTAATTGTCTGCATCACTTCCAATCCCCCATATTTTTTTTATTTTTTATATATATATATTCCCCTTTATTACTTTTCAACCCCACCATCCTTTCCCTACTTGGAGTAAATTAGTGAACAACAACGCCCAGGCCTCTACTTCCGGTCCATACTCACTATCTACACCTTATGGACAGAGTTAATTTTACAATAATTCTATATCTATATATATATATATATATATATACATACATACATACACACACACACATATATACATATATATATATATATATAATATATATATAGTATATAATATAATATATATATATAGATGATAATACACATATATAGATATACACATATATATGATAGTATATAGAATAGATATATAGGAGTATATATGATATTAATTATATATCATCTATATATATATATAACAATATATACTATAATATAATATATATAATATATATATTAATATCACATATATATTATATATATATATATATATATATTACACATATATACACATATACATATACACATCTATTTTTTTTTTTCTCCTGAACTTCTTCTACTCTCAACCTCTCGATCATCTTCATGATGTCCATCCGGTTTGCCTCTAAATGCCATATCTTTCTAACTGTGCTCCTTCCAAAAGCTCCCAACATACAACTATATACTTATTATGGACACAGTATGCTTACATTATTAGCTATCTTTGTTATTATTTGTTGTTATTTGTTATTAGTCCCATCCTTCAACTCTATCAATACCTCCCATCTATCTCTTAACACCATCCATATAGGATTTCTATTTGCCATATATATTTCAACCATACTGTGATGTTTTACAAAAGTTCTGAACCTTTCTATTCTCATTGCTTCTACAGATTGTGAATTAAAAATAAACATTTTTGCTAAAAGTATTATTATATTATTGATTGATTGACTATGACTTTTCAGATCACCCAGTAATGCTATCTGCAAGGTTAGTTCCAGGTAAATATTGCAATCCTTTAGCATTCCTGGACCTGTGTCCAAAAACAAGCTACAAATGGACAGAACCAAAACAAATGATCTAATGATTCTATCTCTTCACAGCAAAATCTGCAGAGCTGGGAAGATTGTATCCCCCATATAAATAACATTCTATTGGTAGCAAGAATTTTATATAATAATTTAAATTGAAAGATTCAAATTTTTGAATCCGGTGTCGTTTTGCGTGTCAGTTCATAAACACTATGCCATGGGATCGGTACGTCAAAGATCTCTTCCCAACTATTTTGCAATCTATATGGGACTGCTGTCAATCCTTTGGTCCTTAAGTGAAACTGATATACTTTTTTATTTATCACAGTTTTCCTTAACCAATTATGTTCTTTAATGCAAGGCCGACAGACAAGGTCCTTACTTTCTCCCCCTTCAACTTTCCTCTTCCACTTTTGCGGTATGGCTGCAATTATTTGGTTGTAATTTTGGGTAGAGCAGACATTTCCATATGTTTTTATTAGCTGCATGTGCGACATAACTCCACCAGTCCTACCGATGATATCATTTACGAAGATTATACCTTTTTTAAACATTCTGTCAATAAATATAGGTTTTTTGTCAATTAGTATATTTGAATTTAACCACAATATTTGTTGCATTATTTGTTCTGTCGTTTCTGGAGGATTAAATTGAAATTGTAACCAACTTTCTATGGCTTGTTTTAGAAATAGTGACATTTGGGAGATTATTTCCTTTTCAAATAACTGAAAGTGAGAGGTTGTAATCTGAATAAAGGGAAAAAGGCCTTTCTTGAACAGTGGGTGAGACAATCTTACTAATTTGCTTGAGAACCAGTTCGGATTTAAGTATAACTTTTGGATGACTGAAGATTTTAGTGATAGGTCTAATGCTTTAATATTTAATAATTTCTGTCCTCCGAATTTCATTCGAAAGAAAATGTTACCTAGAATAACAAATTGACAACATATCAACAATTCCCTCTGGGAAAGTCTCGAATATATCCAAGGATAAATCTGGTGAATATAGATGCTTCTGAAGCTGAGGAAAATGAGTCTGACTTTCGGTAAATGGCAGTTAAAGACAAGTACACTGAATTTAGACTACCAAACATCTATTTAGACCCAATCACCATCTCTTCAAAGTACGTTACTACATATGGTCCAGTTTGTTACATTCTCTATGAAATTGTCTTTTAAATTGTGTAATTCAGTGAAGTGAGCTTTGAAATTTTGGATGAAGGCAATGTCGATTTTCAAGTGGTTAAACTAAATGAAGTTTCTATGACGGTAGTATGATAAACTACAAGAAAATATAAATTTTCATTAAGATTTTGACATTTGTATGTTTTTACTTTTTGAAAATACTAATATTAGTGGACCAAAATACCAACAAATCTAAAAATGGATAGGTAGATGCAAAATGTCATTTCAGCCTGTGGTGCCTGGCATTAAGGAAATGTATTTTGGCCTTTCATGGCTTCCTGTTTCACTGGGGTATAAAAATGAGGTAACATGCATGTTGTTAGGTTCTGAACAAACAGAGTAAAAACTAAGCTCAAACCAAGTTTATTCACCCACTGGGTCATACAGCTGCAAAGACAAAGCATGATTACACAAGCACATACAGTTGAAGTCGGAAGTTTACATACACCTTAGCCAAATACATTTAAACTCAGTTTTTCACAATTCCTGACATTTAATCCTAGTAAAAATTTCCTGTTTTAGGTCAGTTAGGATCACCACTTTATTTTAAATGTGAAATGTCATAATAATAGTAGAGAGTGATTTATTTCAGCTTTTATTTCTTTCATCACATTCCCAGTGGGTCAGAAGTTTACATACACTCAATTAGTATTTGGTAGCATTGCCTTTAAATTGTTTAACTTGGGTCAAACGTTTCGGGTAGCCTTCCACAAGCTTCCCACAATAAGTTGGGTGAATTGTGGCCCATTCCTCCTCACAGAGCTGGTGTAACTGAGTCAGGTTTGTAAGCCTCCTTGCTCGCACACGCTTTTTCAGTTCTGCCCACACATTTCCTATAGGATTGAGGTCAGGGCTTTGTGATGGCCACTCCAATACCTTGACTTTGTTGTCCTTAAGCCATTTTGCCACAACATTGGAAGTATGCTTGGGGTTATTGTCCATTTGGAAGACCCATTTGCGACCAAGCTTTAACTTCCTGACTGATGTCTTGAGATGTTGCTTCAATATATCCACATAATTTTCCTTCCTCATGATGCCATCTATTTTGTGAAGTGCACCAGTCCCCCCTGCAGCAAAGCACAATGAACATTTTTTCTGAGGTCTTGGCTGATTTCTTTTGATTTTCCCATGATGTCAAGCAAAGAGGCACTGAGTTTGAAGCTAGGCCTTGAAATACATCCACAGGTACACCTTCAATTGACTCAAATGATGTCAATTAGCCTATCAGAAGCTTCTAAAGCCATGACATAATTTTCTGGAATTTTCCAAGCTGTTTAAAGGCACAGTCAACTTAGTGTATGTAAACTTCTGACCCACTGGAATTGTGATACAGTGAAGTATAATTGAAATAATCTGTCTGTAAACAATTGTTGGAAAAATTACTTGTCATGCACAAAGTAGATGTCCTAACCGACTTGCCAAAACGATAGTTTGTTAACAAAAAATGTATGGAGTGGTTAAAAAACAAGTTTTAATGACTCCAACCTAAGTGTATGTAAACTTCCGACTTCAACTGTATATTTATAACCTCCTACTAGGAAGGGTCAACTCCTTACACATCTAGACAGCCAATACATCTCTGTTGCTAGGCAGGAACTTAATTGCTTCCTCTCACTGGTGTAGTCATGGCCCTGCCTGATGCTAGAACCTTTGTGGGCGTGGAAGTGTACAGTGCATTCAGAAAATATTCAGACCCCTTCACTTTCTCCACATTTTGTTATGTTATAGCCTTATTCTAAAATGGATTAAATAGTCCCCCCCCCCCCTCATCAATCTACACACCATACCCCATAATGACAAAGCAAAAACAGGTTTTTAGAAAATTGCAAAGAAAAAGCCATATGTCAGACTGGCCAATAAAAAGAAAAGATGGGCAGTCTGAGATATGGCTTTTTCTTTGCAACTCTTCCTAGAAGGTCAGCATCCCGGAGTCGCCACTTCACTGTTGAGGTTGAGACTGGTGTTTTGCGGGTACTATTTAATGAAGCTGCCAGTTGAGGATCTGTGAGGCGCCTGTTTCTCAAACTAGACACTAATGTATTTGTCCTCTTGCTCAGTTGTGCACCGGGGCCTCCCACTCCTCTTTTTATTCTGGTTAGAGCGAGTTTGCGCTGTTCTGTGAAGGGAGTAGTACACAGCGTTGTACGAGATCTTCAGTTTCTTGGCAATTTCTCGCATGGAATAGCCTTCATTTCTCAGAACAAGAATAGACTGACGAGTTTCAGAAGAAAGTTCTTTGTTTCTGGCCATTTTGAGCCTGTAATCGAACCCACAATTGCTGATGCTCCAGATACTCAACTAGTCTCAAGAAGGCCAGTCTTATTGCTTCTTTAATCAGCACAACAGTTTTCAGCTGTGCTAACATAATTGTAAAATGGTTTTCTAATGATCAATTAGCCTTTTAAAATGATAAACTTGGATTAGCAAACACAATATGCCATTGGAACACAGGACTGATGGTTGCTGATAATGGGCCTCTGTACGCCTATGTAGATATTCCATAAAAAATCAGCCGTTTCCAGCTACAATAGCCATTTACAACATTAACAATGTCTACACTGTATTTCTGATCAATTTGATGTTATTTTAATGGACAAAAAAATTGCTTTTCTTTCGAAAACAAGGACATTTTTAAGTGACCCCAAACTTTTGAACTGTAGTGTAAGTATTCAGACCCTTTATTCAGTACAGTGTTGAGACACCTTTGGCAGCGATTACAGCCTCGAGACTTCTTTGGTATGACGCTACAAGCTTGGCACACCTGTATTTGGGGAGTTTCTCCTGTTCTTATTTGCCGATCCTCTACCGCTGCACGGCTATGTTTGATCTGGTTCAAGTCCCGGCTCTGGCTGGGCCACTCAAGGACATTGAGACTTGTCACGAAGCCACTCCTGCGTTGTCTTGGCTGTGTGGTTAGGGTCGTGGTCCTGTTGGAAGGTGAACCTTCGCCCCAGTCTGAGGTCCTGAGCGCTCTGGAGCAGGTTTTCATCAAGGATCTCTCTGCACTTTGCTCCATTCATCTTTCCCTCAATCCTGGCTAGTGTCCCAGTCCCTGCCGCTGAAAAACATCCCCACAGCATGATGCTGCCACCACCATGCTTCACCGTAGGGATGGTGCCAGGTTTCCCCCAGATGTGACGCTTGGCATTCAGGCCAAAAAGTTCAATATTGGTTTCATCAGACCAGAGAATGTTGTTTCTCATGGTCTGAGAGTCTTTAGGTGCCTTTTGGCAGATTCCAAGCGGGCTGTCATGCTTTTTACTGAAGAATGGCTTCCTTCTGGCCACTCTACCATAAAGGCTGATTGGTGCAGTGCAGCAGAGATGGTTGTCTTTCTGGAAGGTTCTGCCATCTCCACAGAGGAACTCTGGAGCTCTGTCAGTAAACCATCGGGTTCTTGGTCACCTCCCTGACCAAGGCCCTTCTCCCCGATTGCTCAGTTTGGCCGGGCGGCCAGCGCTAGGAAGAGTCTTGGTGGTTCCAAACTTCTTCCATTTAAGAATGATGGAGGCCACTGTGTTCTTGGCGACCTTCAATGCTGCAGTAATATTTTGGTACCCTTCCCTAGATATGTGCCTCGACACAATCCTGTTTTGGAGCTCTACAGACAATTCCTTCGACCTCATGGCTTGGTTTTTGCTCTGACATGCACTGTCAATTGTGGGACCTTATATACAGTGGGGGAAAAAAGTATTTAGTCAGCCACCAATTGTGCAAGTTCTCCCACTTAAAAAGATGAGAGAGGCCTGTAATTTTCATCATAGGTACACGTCAACTATGACAGACAAATTGAGATTTTTTTTCTCCAGAAAATCACATTGTAGGATTTTTAATGAATTTATTTGCAAATTATGGTGGAAAATAAGTATTTGGTCACCTACAAACAAGCAAGATTTCTGGCTCTCACAGACCTGTAACTTCTTCTTTAAGAGGCTCCTCTGTCCTCCACTCGTTACCTGTATTAATGGCACCTGTTTGAACTTGTTATCAGTATAAAAGACACCTGTCCACAACCTCAAACAGTCACACTCCAAACTCCACTATGGCCAAGACCAAAGAGCTGTCAAAGGACACCAGAAACAAAATTGTAGACCTGCACCAGGCTGGGAAGACTGCATCTGCAATAGGTAAGCAGCTTGGTTTGAAGAAATCAACTGTGGGAGCAATTATTAGGAAATGGAAGACATACAAGACCACTGATAATCTCCCTCGATCTGGGGCTCCACGCAAAATCTCACCCCGTGGGGTCAAAATGATCACAAGAGCGGTGAGCAAAAATCCCAGAACCACACGGGGGGACCTAGTGAATGACCTGCAGAGAGCTGGGACCAAAGTAACAAAGCCTACCATCAGTAACACACTACGCCGCCAGGGACTCAAATCCTGCAGTGCCAGACGTGTCCCCCTGCTTAAGCCAGTACATGTCCAGGCCCATCTGAAGTTTGCTAGAGTGCATTTGGATGATCCAGAAGAGGATTGGGAGAATGTCATATGGTCAGATGAAACCAAAATATATATTTTTGGTAAAAAGTCAACTCGTCGTGTTTGGAGGACAAAGAATGCTGAGTTGCATCCAAAGAACACCATACCTACTGTGAAGCATGGGGGTGGAAATGCAAAGGGACCAGGACGACTGATCCGTGTAAAGGAAAGAATGAACGGGGCCATGTATCGTGAGATTTTGAGTGAAAACCTCCTTCCATCAGCAAGGGCATTGAAGATGAAACGTGGCTGGGTCTTTCAGTATGACAATGATCCCAAACACACCGCCCAGGAAACGAAGGAGTGGCTTCGTAAGAAGCATTTCAAGGTCCTGGAGTGGCCTAGCCAGTCTCCAGATCTCAACCCCATAGAAAATCTTTGGAGGGAGTTGAAAGTCCGTGTTGCCCAGCGACAGCCCCAAAACATCACTGATCTAGAGGAGATCTGCATGGAGGAATGGGCCAAAATACCAGCAACAGTGTGTGAAAACCTTGTGAAGACTTACAGAAAACGTTTGACCTGTGTCATTGCCAACAAAGGGTATATAACAAAGTATTGAGAAACTTTTGTTATTGACCAAATACTTATTTTCCACCAAAATTTGCAAATAAATTCATAAAAAATCCTACAATGTGATTTTTTTGAATTTTCTTTCTCATTTTGTCTGTCATAGTTGACGTGTACCTATGATGAAAATTACAGGCCTCATCTTTTTAAGTTGGAGAACTTGCACAATTGGTGGCTGACTAAATACTTTTTTCCCCCACTGTAGACAGGTGTGTGCCTTTCCAAATCATGTCCATTCAATTGAATTTACCACAGGTGGACTCTAATCAAGTTGTAGAAACATCTCAAGGATGATCAATGGGAACAGGATGCACCTGAGCTCAATTTCGAGTCTCATAGCAAAGGGTCTGAATACTTATGTAAATAAGGTATTTCTGTTTAGTTGTTTATATCAATTTGCAAACATTTCAAAAAACCTGTTTTCGCTTTGTCATTATGGGGTATTGTGTGTAAATTGATGAGGTGGAAAAAATAATTTCATCTATTTTAGAATAAGACTAACATAACAAAATGTGGAAAAGCTGTCCTGCCCTATCAAGAACTGACTATTGCCCTTTGCCTCCCTCTTTACAACATGGAACAGAATTTGAACTTTCTGCACTTCCCCTTGTCTCACTCAGGAACTTTCTATACACCAAGTTCCTATTCACCCTTCATTGACACCAACCTATACATTCCTTATACATGTAAAGTAATCAATAAGTTCTAGTATGGTAACATGAATAAGTATATTTCAAGCTAGAATCCAACAATGTAAAATCCATTTGTCATCCATCAGCATGGGGAATGGCAAATGAAAAGAGACAAATGGTTGTTGATTTTTTAGTAAAAACCAAATATACCACTTTTCACTCACTATTAGGGCAACAATTAAGAAGTTTAACGCCACTGGTACAGTGGTAAACTTTCCTGGTAGAGGACCCAAGTGTATCTTGTCCCCACGCACAGTGAGGAAGATGGTTCAGGAGACACAGAAAAGTCGAAGGGCCACAGTTGGAGATCTGAGAACTTGGTTGCATCTTGGGGTCACCATGTCTCCAAATCTACAATTACACGCCACCTCCATGTCAATAGGCTATTTGGAAGGGTTGTCATAAAAAAGCCTTTATTGAGAGTAACCAACAAATGTTAACGCTCAGAGTTTGCTAAACGGCCTTGTTGTATTGGAACCAGGTGCTATGGTCAGATGAGACGAAAATAGAGCTCATACATACTGTAAAATATGGGGGTGGATCTTTGATCTTATGGGGCTGTTTTGTTTCCACTGGTCCTGAGGCACTTGTTATGGCGCCCGCATGCTCCCCAGACGAAACAGTTTGTGCATATATTATGACAACATTTTGTGACGTTTTTGTTCGTCTTGGACTTCGGCAAGTGTTCTTTCGAGCACAAATTTTTTTCTCGAGGCAAGCCAAAGTCGGTAGCCGAAGTCTACGCCCCCTCGTCAGCGTTTGGTCAACAGTAGGTATTCTTCAATTAAGTGCCTGTTGTCATTCGACGAGAGACGACTCATTTTTTCACTTGAGAAATATTGCACCAAACATCCTAGTCAGATGCGAAATTGTGATTTCTTGAGATAGATTAATTCTGACTATTTTGTAAAGTGTATACTGGCTACGGCATCTCAAAATGGACAAACAGTACTATTGCCGCTTTTTTCTCATTTTTCAAGCGAAGGTCTTTTAAGGGAGTATGTGACCACACTTGTTTGGTTCAGCTAGCTGAGGTCGGCTAAGCGCCAGCCGAACTGAAGCATGCTGATGCCTTTAAGGTCCACGGCATCATGAACTCTACCAAGTATCAGGACATTTTAGCCAAAAACCTGGTTACCTCTGCCAGGAAGCTGACACTTGGCCGCAAGTGGATCTTCCAGAAAGACAATGACTCCAAGCACACATCAAAATCCATAAAGAAATGGTTAATTGAAAAATCAACATTTTGCATTGGCCATCTCAAACCTGTGGTTTGAATTGAAGAGGGCAGTCCATAAGCGCAGACCGAAGGATATCAAGTATCTGGAAAGATTATGTATGGAGGAATGGTCTAAGACTCCTCCCAATGTGTTCTTCAATCTCATAAAACATTACAGAAAAAGGTTAAGTGCTGTTATCCTCACAATGGGAGGGTGCACAAAGTATTGAAAACAGGGGTGCCAATAATGTTGACACAGATTTTTTTTTAAATTACTTAATTATTTTTCTCAGAGCAATTGTATTAGTACAATATAGCTCAGTATTTGTATAATTTATTTTAGTATTTTTTGCTCATCTTTATCATGGGTGACAATTTTGGATGTATCTAATTCTGTAATCACTGATATTAAATTGTTGATTATTTCCAGGGCACCATGGAGGAGAAGATCTACGACAGGCAGGTGGCCAAGCAGTCTCTGTCGTTCCGGGTGGTGGACCAGCAGCAGATACAGAGACACTTCACTCTGTTTGAACTGACGGAGCTTTACATGTTTGAGCCAGACCTGCTGGATGACCCCAACTCTGAGAAGAAGAGCAAGAGGACCACACCCCTGCTGCCCAAGGTGAACAGAGCTACAAATTAAACACACAAGACCATTAGATTCTCAATTGACCCTTCGCTAAGCCCCGCCCCCCCTGGTCACTGTTGCAACCTCTGACATCATTTTCCCGAGAAGCCCAATTCCCCATTCAAGAAATCCCCTCACAATAATCTCAAACTGTGTTTCTAATACACTATGAAATTAAAAAGACTACCAGGAGACTAGTGTTAGAAACGTTTGGTAGTCAATGAGACTGAGAGCTAGCTAACCAGCTGAGCTAGCAAACAATGTAACAAAAGTATAATTTCGGATTCGAAAAATACTTCAACAAGCTCTGCATTTCAGAAATCACAGTAGCAAGTACTCCTGGTAGATTGTTCAATTATTTAGCCATAAAAAAGTAAGTAAATAAATAAGAACTCTGTTTTTGCCATAGCCCTTATTGGCTTTCATGTGATTTAAATGTGAGCTTGTCCGAGGTGTCGGACACGACGACAGTTTCTATCCATTGGAGCGCTGCGATTGGTTGACCAAAATTCTGGGGCATAACTTGGTGAAGGGTGAATTAGTATTTTATCTTTAACAGTAGCGAGTGACATTGTGTGTCTGTTTCCCAGGACATGGTCCTGGCAGAGCTGCTGCAGAGCTGTAAGGAGCAGATTGTCTGCTACCACGAACACGAGTCCCTGCTGGACCACAAAGAGGAGGAGGAGCTCAGTGAGGCCGACCGCAAAGCTGCCTGGGCTGAGTATGAGGCAGAGGTAAAGCAGAACTACTATACATTACACACATTCTCTGACAAGACAGCTACATACGTTTTCATAGACAGTGGTGAGCAGCCTGTAGTAGTCTTTCTCTCTTCTGCTCTTGCCTGTAAACGTTGAGAGACTATGGTTTTGAGTCAATTCAACATCCTTACTTGAACTCTTGTTTATCAAGAAGTAAAGTAGTAATGATATATGTATGATGTGTAAAAACAGGTGTATGTTTGTCTCTCCTCTACGAAGGGTGCATTCATCTTGAACAATGCAGAACACAGCAGCACCAACGTTCCCAGCCCCTCCACCTCTCGTATGGCCAACAACAGTCTGTCATCCCTGTACAAGAAGACTAATGAGCAGCTGAAGGTATTAGCCCCGTCTCACCACCAGACTTGTGTGGAAATCAGTTGCTTATCTCTAAAGTTTATGTTTGGGATTATCTCTCAATAGATAGATGCCTCTCACATCAACATTTGAATGTGTCTCTCTCCTGAATGACAGAACATGATTAATGCCAGCCGTGACAAGGTCAGCGAGGCCATCAAGTCCCTGCATTCCTTAAAGAACCTCTCCCTGGATGACTATGTGTTGCGCTTGGTTAGTCCCTCGTATTATATAACATTAATATGATAATAATAATCTTTCATATTACACTTATGCCTCCCTGAAGTAATGTGTGGAAAAAAATTGAATGTGCATTACAATGACATGTGACTTGTGTTTTTACAGTGGCAAGGTAACCCAAGTCTAGATGAGAAGCAGGTTAGAGCCCTGGCCCAGACCTGGAAAACCAGCAATGACCTAGAGCGGGAGCGAAGACAGGCCATATATCATGACCTTCTCGCAAAACAACAATCAGTAAGCTTCAATTGTCAACAACAACATTGTTGTTCTAATTTTCTTTCTGCTTTTGATATTCCTTTGTAACTTGTAACTACTTAACCCTGCATCTTTCCCTTACTCCCCTCGACAGCTCACAATGTGCATCCAGACCATTTTGACCAGTAGAAAAACTGAAGTGACACAGACTGCCACGGTCACCAATCAGACACCAGCCTTGACAGACTTGGTTAAGAAACCCATGCAGTGAGTCAGGAGAGACGTCTCCAGCCTCAGTCCCCTGTTCCACTAGAGGACACTCTAGTCTAACCACAGTAACTATAGAGGGTACTTACTCCCCCCAAAGGGGTGACAGACAAAACATTTCCGTTAAGGATTTCCTTTATTTTACATTGAAAATGAATGGATGTGGTGGCAGGTAGCCTAGTGGTTAACAGCGTTGGGCCAATAACCGAAAGGTCGCTGGTTCGATTCCCCGAGCCGACTAGGTCTGTGCCCTTGCCGTCAATAATGGCTGATCCCTGGCTGTGACCTCACTCTCCGAGGGTGTCAAAGGGAGAGTGGGATATGCAAAAAATTAATTTCCAATTCACAAATGTGTATAATACACACTTGTACATGTGTGAAATAGGACAAATGTAAGCACCCACCTTATTATTTTTATTATTATGTTCTTTAGCAAAGGTATTATGTTAAAGGTGCAGTGCAGTCAAAATTTGTGATTTTCCTGTTTTTATATATTTCCAGGGCTGTGTATGTAAATATATTTATATTTGTATCAACACACCCACACGATCAGACTGAGCTTTTCAATGGCAAAATGAGGCTCAGGGAAATAAATTATACAAAATATATTTGAAATTATTTTCATGATATAAACAAAGTGATTTATTAGACATACAGTGTTGATTTATTAACTTAAACACTGCATGGGGGCTTTAAATAAATATTCTGCCTTGGAAAAGGTTTTCCTACGTGATTAATGGTATAATTGTCTGTTTCTCTGATGCTATAATAAAAATATGTTCACAAAACAGTTTTTTTTTTTACCATTGTCTAAAATGTTGTGGTCTTTGATATGATGGATTTTTTGCTTTGATCGTTACACTTTATTTTATGGTTACAGTGAGAAATTACCAGGCATATGCCTTAAAATAAGATGCTAATAATGATTGCTACTTTTTGGTACTTTTATTTAAGTAATTTAAAAAATACTTAATTTGTAATGTTTGGAGTAAATGTCACTGTTCGTGAGGTACTGAATCACTTCAACATATCCTCTGATACATCCTCTCTCAGCAAACAACACAGATTCAGGTCATAAAAATAGTGTGGGTTATAGGATTGGAGAGATATTGTTCATGAGAATAAGTGTTTGCGCTCAGCAGTTTTGGTTTTACTTTTGTGCAGAGCGGAGGCTAAACTGATGCTACAAAAAGGTTTAATCAAACAGAAGAAAACGGGTCAGAGCCGATAGATAGATAGATAGATAGATAGATAGATAGATAGATAGATAGATAGATAGATGTTTATTTACACAAATATATTATATATATATGGGGGGGGGGGGGACTGGAGTACTTTAAATTATGGGCAGAAAGACGAATTCAACTCCATCTTTCATCATATCAGATGGCTTATCACAAAACCATTTGATGTTGCCAACTATTTTAATGATTACTTAATTGGCAAACTTGGGCAGGGAATGCCAACAACGAACAGTGAGCCATCGTATTCATGCATAAAAATTTTTACTAATATGAAACAAAAGCATTGTAAGGTTGAATTTCGTAAAATTAGTGTGGGAGAGGTGAATAAATGATTTATCGATCAATAATGGCAAACCTTCTGGCATTGACTACTTAGATGGAAAGCTACTGAGGATGGTAGCTGACTCTATAGCCACTCCTATCTGTCATATCTTTAATCTGGGCCTAGAGAAAAGTGTTTGTCCTCAGGCCTGGAGGGAAGCCAAAATCATTCCGCTACCCAAGAGTGTTAAAGCAGCCTTTACTGGTTCTAACAGCAGACCTATCAGCTTGCTGCCAGCTCTTAGCAAACTGTTGGAAAAAATTGTGTTTGACCAAGTACAATGCTATTTCTCTGTAAACAAATGAACAACAGACTTTCAGCATGCTTATAGAGAAGGGCACTCAACATGTACTGCACTGAAAAAAAAATGACTGATTGGTTGAAATAAATGTATAATACAAATATTGTGGGAGATGTACTGTTACATTTCAGTGCAGCCTTTGATATTATTGACCATAACCTGTTGTTCAAATCAAATCAAATCAAATCAAATTTTATTGGTCACATGCGCCGAATACAACAGGTGCAGACATTACAGTGAAATGCTTACTTACAGCCCTTAACCAACAGTGCATTTATTAAAAAAAAAAAAAATAAGAATAAAACAACAACAAAAAAGTGTTGAGAAAAAAAGAGCAGAAGTAAAATAAAGTGACAGTAGGGAGGCTATATATACAGGGGGGTACCGTTGCATAGTCAATTTGCGGGGGCACCGGCTAGTTGAGGTAGTTGAGGTAATATGTACATGTGGGTAGAGTTAAAGTGACTATGCATAAATACTTAACAGAGTAGCAGCAGCGTAAAAAGGATGGGGTGGGGGGGCAGTGCAAATAGTCCGGGTAGCCATGATTAGCTGTTCAGGAGTCTTATGGCTTGGGGGTAGAAGCTGTTGAGAAGTCTTTTGGACCTAGACTTGGCACTCCGGTACCGCTTGCCGTGCGGTAGCAGCGAGAACAGTCTATGACTAGGGTGGCTGGAGTCTTTGACAATTTTGAGGGCCTTCCTCTGACACCGCCTGGTATAGAGGTCCTGGATGGCAGGGAGCTTTGCCCCAGTGATGTACTGGGCCGTACGCACTACCCTCTGTAGTGCCTTGCGGTCAGAGGCCAAGCAGTTGCCATACCAGGCGGTGATGCAACCAGTCAGGATGCTCTCGATGGTGCAGCTGTAGAATTTTTTGAGGATCTGAGGACCCATGCCAAATCTTTTTAGTCTCCTGAGGGGGAATAGGCTTTGTCGTGCCCTCTTCACGACTGTCTTGGTGTGTTTGGACCATGATAGTTTGTTGGTGATGTGGACACCAAGGAACTTGAAGCTCTCAACCTGTTCCACTACAGCCCCGTCGATGAGAATGGGGGCGTGCTCAGTCCTCTTTTTTTTCCTGTAGTCCACAATCATCTCCTTTGTCTTGGTCACGTTGAGGGAGAGGTTGTTGTCCTGGCACCACACGGCCAGATCTCTGACCTCCTCCCTATAGGCTGTCTCATCGTTGTCGGTGATCAGGCCTACCACTGTTGTGTCGTCGGCAAACTTAATGATGGTGTTGGAGTCGTGCCTGG